GAAGACGAGTTCGAAACAGAAAGCGAGGAAGAGGAGGGCGGCGAAGATGGCAGCGGGAGTGAAAGCGGCAGCGGCAGTGAAGAAGAGTCTTCTGAGGAGGAGTCAAGTAGCGAAGAAGAGGCGCCGAAGAAACTACTGCGCCCAGTGTTTCTGAAGAAGAACGAGCGGAACAAAGTCGCACCTGTCAAATCAGCAGAGGAGATAGCGGCAGAAGAGGAAGCGCGGCGGCAGGAGCAAAACAGAGCGCTTGTACAGGAGCAGGTCGAGCAGCGCATAGCGGAAAAGGCAGCGGGCAAGAAAGACTGGGACGACGACGTGGAAGACGCCGACATCAACGCCATCGACGACACAGACGGTGTAGACCCCGACGCCGAGTATGCCGCCTGGAAGCTGCGCGAGCTCAAGCGCATTAAGCGCGAACGTCTCGCGATCGAAGAAGCCGAAGCAGAGCGCGCAGAGATCGAGCGCCGCCGCAACTTATCCGTCGCCGAACGCGAAGCCGAAGACCGCGCCTTCATCGAAAAGCAACAAGAAGAAAAGGGCGACCGTGGGCAGATGCAGTACATGCAGAAGTACTTCCACAAGGGCGCCTTCTTCACAGACGAGCTCAAGGAACTGGGTGTGGATAGAAGGAACCTCATGAACGCGCGCTTCGAAGACGAGACGAATCGCGAGATTCTTCCCGAGTACATGCAGATCAGAGACATGACAAAACTGGGCAAAAAGGGTCGGACACGCTATAGGGATATGAAGACCGAAGATACCGGCAAATGGGGTGACTTCGGTGATGACCGGCCGCGGAGAGACAAGGGCGACTTCGGTGTCGACGAGAGATTCAGACCTGATGCTTATGGCGGAAGAGATCGGGATAGAGAGGGCCCTTCTGGCGCAAACGCGAAGCCACTTGGCGAGAGGAAGAGGTTCGGCGACGACCATGACCGGGACGGTAAGCGCCCGAAGATGGAAGAGAGGGCTTAAAGCGTGTGATCATTATCAGTTTGGCGTTGACAGCATTGGGCGGCGTACTAGCATCTACGGAACATGAATATCATACCCACCGACTTCAGTCGTCGGCTCATTACTCTTCACGAACCCTCTCGTACGTTCCCCGTCCCTGGGCATCTCCGTCTGCCATCGCGCGCGCATCCTCTCTCCCCTTTTCCACATCCAACCGCCACAGTAACGGTGCTGGCAATACCACCAGGACCGCCAGGAAGATGAAAGCCGGGCGTATCGTGGCCGCCTGGTCAACGATGAACCCGACAAGAGCTGGGCCGAATGCACTGCTACCTTTATCCGTAACAGCATACAGCGCAAAGAACGCTGCTTCACTGCCCTCAGGTATCAAAGGCGCGTAGACGGACCGCGCATAAGAAGATATACCACCCATGACTATCCCATGAATGACAGCAATGGGGTAGATCTCCCATGCTTTCTGCAGACCGATGAACCCCAAGCTCTTGAACATGGGTATGTATCCGAGTAAGCCATAGAGAGGGATGATCTCCATACCCGCTACACAACACAGTAGTACGGTCTTGGGCTGTAGTGCGAAGCGCCGTTGCACATGCGGCCATGCAAACGCGCCTACGATGCCAGATCCGATAGATGTGATGGACAGTAGCGCGATGGCAATGGTGCCCATGTGTAACTCAGTGCGTGCGAAGAGGACAGCCGTTCCAGAAATGGTCGCCACGGCATCTGACAACAGGAACCACGATATCAGGAAAAGGAGCGTCTGCCGTAGCTTTATGGCTCTCCGAAGTGTACCGTAGAAGCTGCGTAAGGAGAAGGATGTGTAGAATAGGAACGTCCTTATCCTCGACGATGACTTTCCTCCGGCAAAGCTCTGCGCAGTCTGTGTGGTTAGTGGTGGACCTGGTCTTGGACGTAGCCATAACAGTGTCGGGATGGAGAATATAGCCCACCACAAACCGACCATTAGCAGAATCATACGGATCGAGAGACTGGGCGACGTTTTCGACAGAGCCGTTTTGTTGAAGAGAACTATGATCAATATACTCAAGATCTGGACGAAGACAGCGGACATGTAGCCATATCCCACGCCTTTACTAGAGATCTGCGCGCTTCGTTCTAGATCTCGCTTCAGCCGATCTGGATCGAAGCGGGCGTGAGTAGAAGATGGTCCATTGGCCGGGTTCAAGGACTCCAGCTCGACATCCGAGGCGGAGTCGGAAGATGACGATTTCCCAAGCGTATTGTTATCTGGATGGTTGGCAACAAGTAGTGGTAAGAATGCGTTTAGCAAGACGAATGAACAGCCTAGACTCGCAACTCCGACGATGACTAGAATAGGAGCGAGGTAGTATAGTGATGGTGAAATGAAGATGAAAAGACAGCTGGCTAGTGAGCCCATGTACGATGTGAACATGAGCATCTTCTTCCGGTATGGGCCTTGGCAATATGTTAGTCCTTGTTAAAGATGTGAGATATTGACTACAACGACTTACCATGATCGGCGAAGGAACTGAAACATATCAAGACCACTGCTTGAAGTAATACAGCCGTAGAGAACGTGTACATGGCGAAACTACTCGTCGACATGTCCCTCCCCAGGTATCTCACCATGCATTGCTCAGAGTCTCCTCCGGCTTTCTGGTCAGCATCGTCGCGTATCCGGAGTTTTCCGGATGCGGTATGGTCGACACATGGCTTTGAGTGATCGGAGAAAAAGACGCCATTTTCTCGTGCGAGTTGCTCGAGGATGACTGGGAGGAAAGCGCCTTGAATCTGTAAGTAAGACGCGAAAATTGATACATGTGTATGGTGGTGATTGCGTGGGCTGGGTGGAAGAGAAGGCTATGACGTACCGACTGCGACTACAGCGAAGACTTCGGCTGCGATTGGGTACGCATACCAAGCCTTCAATTCGCGATCGGTAGTAGGGCTCGTGTCTTCGCCTTCGTATTTGATGCGCGGGCTGGATACGAGCGTGTCGTCATCGTCGAGGTCGTCATTAAAAGACATATTTGTTTGTTGTTAGGGTTTTCGAGAGGCGCATTTGGATAGAGCGCTGACTGTTTGACGATTCCGATGGGTGCCGGGCTCTTGCCGAGTGGGTCGCGGGTGGTGGGGCGGCTTCCAAGAACGAGGCGCATCATGCCAGGAGCCTCATTCTTCTTCTTCTGCGCTGGAAAGTCGCGTTTCGACAGGAACTTCTTTATTCTTTTGAAACACCTTACAAAAATGATAAAGCATATTCCGTTCAGTGTCAGGATAGGCCCATCTAGCTGGACGCCGTGTTTCAATGACGCATTGCATCATTGACTTTCTATTAGCGTCATGGAACCGGCTGCAAGCTTCACGCACAGAGCCTCTGGTTCCCAGAAGTATGCCGGTTGAGATGCATGTCTGACTGCTCAGTGGTCTTCTTACAAACATTAGATCTGATGCTTGACTATGGCAGTTACTTTGCGAAGCCGTCGAACGACTTCTGACACTCCACGAGGGAAGCGAAAGATCAATGCCGCACCTAAAACACGCAAGCCTTCAGCAAGGACGCCCACCCGGGTAGATACCGAAGACCACCCAGTCGTCATCTCAACGCCCCCCGGTTTTCCTTTTGAGCTCCAGCCTGCAAAGTATGGTCTCATTCAAGAGCGTGTATGCGACAGCTTGTATGCATTGGTAGTCCAAGCGATCCTATGGAACCAGACTCGGGGCCAAATGGCACGTCCAGTGCTCTTCAGTTTACTCGTAGCCTATCCATCGCCAAATGAGCTCTCCACCGCGTCTCTCGAAGATCTGACAACAATGTTGCAGCCCATAGGCCTCCACCGGATTCGAGCGGCCCGCCTTATAGCACTGGCTGAAGCCTGGCTTTCCGCTCCTCCATGTAAAGAGAGAAGGTACAGGAGGTTACATTACCCTGACCATGGATGTGGTGCAGATGTCAAGCCAGGAGAGATCTTAGGGCCTGAGGACGATAGAGAAGGCTGGGAGATTGCGCACCTGCCGGGCATGGGTGCGTATGCGCTTGACAGCTATCGCATCTTCTATCGCGACCGCCTGAGGGGCATCGAATCTACGAGCGGTGTTGAGCCCGAATGGAAAAGAGTTGTGCCGACCGACAAGGGTAAGTTCTGACTGTACGAAGTGCATATGAGACATATACTGACTTCGTACCCCTACCTCTGCAGAGCTGATACCATATTTGAAGTGGAGGTGGGAAGAAGAGCGTTGACGACTAAATCGCGCGAACAATACACTGTCTCTCCATTCGTACGGCCTGACAGGCCGCTATCAGACAATTTTGAGCGTACAGGAATGTTCGTATTTACCAGAAAAGCAATGCTAGCTCGCACAGTAAATCGTCGAGACGCTGTCATGTGCTTCGTCCTGGCGCGCGCGTTGACAAGTCGAAGCACCATTTCGGAATCCGAACAACAAATCACCACCACCGCTACCCCGCCAAAACGCTCTTGTAGTCATCTGGAAGTTCTGAGCGAGCCGAATCGAATTAGACATGCAAGCGTCACCTCTCTGACCACCAAAAGATTACTGGCGCATTAGTTGCTTTTCATGGTTGCTACAATGTAAGCTGTGCGACAGTAAAGAGCCTGTTAGGAAGCCATAAGCGACGTACGGGAAAACGTTGAATGCAAGGCGTACGCCCCAACTTTGGCCAGATCGGCTGCGGGTAAATGACGACCCTGCAAGATCTCTCATCCAAACGACAACGGCCGTAAGCATCGTTAACATACCTCGGCGTCGGCGCAGCAATGCTACCACGCGGCACAGAATGCGTTCACCTCGAATCGCTTCACGCACCAAAATAGAGAATCGGGGAAGTGACGATTATGAAGTGAATGGCATAAGAGGGGCGGGTGTATCGTCACTTCTGCGTTTGGTTATCCCGTGCTAGGACGCGCCTGACCTTTGTCCCCCTTCTACGTCGAGGCACGTAAACAGCAAACTCGCCTAGTTCACGCGACTACTTGCCCCACAACCTTCGTCGCGAACTACCCAGACACACCAACATGAACGTCGAGAAACCCTCCAGTACGCCAATGGCTCTAGAACCCCTCAACATCACCGACGATGAAGAAAAGCGGGCTCAGTCGACTATTGGACCCGAGACCACCTCCAGTCCTACTACAGCGCCTGGAATTGCAACATGGAAGTTGGTGTGTTTGTATATCAGGTAAAGGTACCGCGAAAACCAGTATGATCAATTAGCTAATGCGCACCGCGTAGTATATGTATCGGCCTCTTCCTATCGTTCCTGGATACCTCAATCATCGCAACTGCTATATACACAATCGGGGTAGACTTCCAGTCCTTATCCAAGGTGAATTGGATTGCATTGTCCTACACACTCGCCTACATTGGCTGCACCGCCATCTTCGCAAGCCTCTCCGATGTCATCGGTCGCCGCAACGCCTACCTCGCCGCCTATGTCATCTTTCTCGCCTTTTCAGTCGGCTGTGGCTTCGCTCAATCCCTCGAACAGCTCATTGCTATGCGTGCGCTACAGGGAGTCGGTGGCTCGGGCTTGTATTCAGTGGGCTTCGTTATCTTGGGCGAGATCAGTCCGCCGCGCGTGATTGGTATGCTGGGCGCAATGGCAGGAGCCATTATTGCGATGTCGGGCATCCTAGGGCCAGTGCTGGGCGGTGTCATTACGAGCTACACATCCTGGCGGTGGATTTTCTGGATCAACGCCCCGATTGGAATCATTCCGTTGATCCTTTTCGTACTGGTTTGGTCCAACGACGCCCTCATCCGCGGTGTCAGTCGTCGCAGATTCAAACAGGTCGACTTCTTGGGCTTCCTTCTCTTGGTCGCTGCTTCCGTGCCCTTTGTCATTGCGTTCCAGCAAGCCGGCATCCACGTCCTCATGAACAGCTCCATCTGGTCGTCTGCGCTCTTCGTTGCTCCGCTCATCGTTGGTGTGCTCTGCTTTGCCGCACTCTTCACTTGGGAGTGGTTTATTGCAAGACGTTGGCCTGACGCGATTGCTGCACTCTTCCCAATGCGACTAGCCAAGAACCGAGTTTACATGTCTGCACTCGCTACAACGTTGTTGATAGGCTTCCCCTACTTCGTCATCATATACTCGCTGCCAACGCGGTTCCAGGTCGTCAACGGAAAGAGTGCGCTTGGATCGGGTGTCGCTTTGCTGCCAATGCTTGGGTCCTCTGCCATCGGATCGACTCTCGCTGGTGCGGCGTCGAGTAAGAAGAATAACACGTTTGCGGTCAACGTCATTGGTGCTGCCCTCATGCTTATTGGAACCGCAACCTTGTCTACACTCGATAACACTTTCGCCCCCCAAGCTCGAGCCTATGGTCTACAGGTTTTCGTCGGCTTAGGCTTCGGGTTGACAGTCAGCAATTCGACTCTACTCGCTGGCATTGAATCGGAGCCACGCGACACCGCAGTCGCACAAGGCCTGATGGCGCAAGTGCGTGTGCTAGGGGGTAGTGTTGGTATTGCTGCGTCAACAGCTATCCTGGGCATCAAAGAGCGTCAAGAGCTTCTCGACTCGCTGATTGTAGAGGGCGCGCAGTTGGAGTCACTTGCTGAGTCTATGCGGACCCTTCCTCCCAACAAAGTTTTCGCTATTCGCCAGACATACTCAGATGCTTTCAACGAGACACTTGTGGCTTGCGCAGTTATCAGTGGTGTGGCCCTCCTGGCGACGCTCGCAGCGTGGCGGAAACATCCCACGGCTATGAGAAATAGAACATAGCATTTGGTCCGATGATGGGAGGTTTGCGCGCCCGGCATGAACTTTGGGAAGGACTGAGGCTAGCTATCAGTCACAGCAGGAAGGGCTCTGTCCCTGCCGGACCAACCAGGGCTCTGTCTGTAGGGCCAGCTACTCAATTAGGAAATCTTTTCAAGAACCGTGGATTGCGGTGGGGAGGGCACTGTGGGTCGCTGCTCCTGTGGAACGAGACTTGATTGGCTCGACAGGGCCAGATACCCGATTAGGAAGGTTCTGCAAAGACTGTTGATCGCCGCGGGGAGGGCTCTGTGGGTCTGCTGTCCCTGTGGGCGGGAAGCTGATTGGCCAGGTAGGGCTAGCTACCTGATTGGGAAGGTTCTGCAGCATCTGTAGATCGCGGCAGTCTTGGCAGATAGGGCCAGGATCGGCCCTGTGCAGCCTATCAGAGTCCTCCAGGCAGGGCCGTCTACACGTCCCAGCCTCCTCTCTTCTCTCACGGCATCAAGCTTGGAGCAACCGGTGCAGCACCACCATGATAGTAAAACAATATGTGTATTTTGCAATCTACATCAACCTCTGATACTATTGTGCCATACAGGAAAGGACTGAAGTTCTGAACTAACGAGAACGTTCCCAAACTTCACGCACTCACATGTCTCCATCTAGGGCTCCACATCCATCATAGGAACCTGATCCCCGTTCTTCGCCTCCGCCAACCCCTTCCTCTTCCTAGGCGGTTCCTCCGGCACCGGGTTTTGATCCTGCGGCGGCTGCGGCATCTGCGGCACCATAGGCTGCAAGTTCGGCGGCGTAGGCTTGAGTCCATTGGCGAAGATCTCATTCGCAATCTCCATCCCCAGAGGCACACCACCGATGGGGTAGTCACCCTCGATACCCTGCCTCGTACCCCTAGTCTTGTACCTGATATCCTCTGGGTTCTTGAACAGAGCCGTGCCCGCGTCATCGACGGCGTAGATATCTTTCTTCGTGGTAGGCACCAGGATGTCCTTTGCGGCCGCGGCGTCGAAGCGCCAGTGCACACCGAGGAAGATGCGCGAGATGGCGTTTTCAAACATCATCTCCCAGCAGGAAGAGAACTGGCGCGGGACACGCGTGCGCACGGTACCGGGTTGGTCGGTGATCTCGCGTTCGAGCATGTAGGGTTGGCGGAGATCGCGGCTGATGCCGTTGAGTTCGTCGGATACAAAGTCGATGGCGATGTTGTCCGGCGCGTCGTCCTGCCAGCTTCCGATGCGGCCGTTGTAGTATCTGCGCACCATCTGGAAGGCGGCACCGCCGAAGGTGGCGTGTCCAGAGGGGTAGGCGGGGAAAGGCGGCTTGAAGGGAAGGGCATCTGAGTTTGTAGCTGGGGCGCCAAGGGTAAGCCAGAACGGGTCGCCACGGTCTACACGCGTAGGGTCACGAAGAATGTCGTCGCGGACACCGGAGAGCGGGCGCCAGAACTCGAATTCCCATTTCTCCTTCCAGGAGAAGACGCCTGCGTCGGCCAAGGCTACGTTGACCAGCGCGAGGAGACGAGCAAAGTCAGCGTTGTTGGCTTCGCTGGTCAGGGACTGGGAATCCTTCTTGTATCGAACTGCAATCTTGCGGACGATCTGGTTGTACAGTCTGGGTGGAGTGCCGATCAACTTTGAGCCGTCGTAGGCCCACGTCATACCTTGGACGGTCTGGTGAGGAGTGCGCTTGGTGGAGTTGAGGGCAGGTGCTCCACCCATGGTATAGACTTCACGAAGAGCATCATCGTATTCCGCCTGCTCGTCAGACATGGAGCGGATGGCTGGTGGGTCAGCAAGGATGTGCTCGCTCTGAGTCGCGAAGCGCTTGGCCCTCGTGCCATAGAAGGGACCGTGGTACTGGCGTCTGGGGACCTTTGGACCATTGGGGTCGTTGGCATCCTGGGGGACGAGGTCAACGGGGTGGGTGGGCTCATCGTCGAACTTGTAAGGACCGACGGTGGGATGATAGCCTTGTTGACTGGCACCTTCTGGGTGGAAAAGTAGGTCGAAGAATTTCATAGCTACTGCCTTACCGAAGGTGAAACTGGGGGAAGCCGGATCGACGCCCCCTGGAGCGTTGGTAATCGACTGCTGGATGATGTACTCGAGCTGATCGTAGGTGCTGTTGGCAATGGAAGCGGGAACAGGGGTCACAGCAGGCCTCATGTACAGCATGGACAGCATCGTGAAAGCTGCTCCTGCTACCGCCTGCTGAGCATTGTCTGCGCCAGCTGGATCGGGCAGGCGGTACTTCTCGTCTTCGGCGTCAAGGGATAGGAAAGTCTTGAAGTCGGAAGAAGGCTTGATGACGAAGTAGGTGTCGTGTACAGCTAGCTGGAGCATGCCTAGAGCTCTGGCGGAGATTGGGGGTCCAGTTTGGGGGCCATCGAAGGTGTGTGTAACGCGGTTCAGATCCAAGCCGACATGGTTCCAGTAGAGGATGTAGTTCTGGTTGTCTGCCTCGTCTTCAACCTGCTGTGGAAGCTTAACGGGAATGAAGCTCGCCATGATGAATATGTTGGTGTGGGAGGATATGGGAATTGGGGAAGTTGTAGTTATGATGAATGTGACATGAGCCCTGATACTTTATACCCAACGACCCCAGGCCCCCTCATCGCCCGCGAGATCTGTCCATACCTGGGTTGTTTTCTTCTTCTCCCAAAATAACCCAGCTGACCATCAGGTGAACGCCTTCCACGATAGGAACCTGGCCACATTCAGGCAGACGAGAAGGCAGACTCTGAGCCACGCCGTTACAAACCGATGCGAAGGACCATTGTCGTGGAGTAGAGATACTGCCAAGAGTCAATGAAGTTCTCGCGCCATGCAGCCACTGGCGGGAGGATTACACTTGGCGCGAACTACTTGTGACGAGTGAAATTGCTTACCGACGCGCTGCGGAGAGGCTGAGTTTGGCTGCTGTGAGCGGTTGGTGGTCAGATCTGACGTACATTTCAGCTGACAAGGGGGTCCGTGATCCAGCCTCTCAATTCTCTCAGCCAATGCATTCATGTTACGAAGCTTAACATCGCCATAGGTATTGCTAAGCAGTATATATCCCAGAGTGTATGCTGTGACTCTGGTGCCTGTTGACGTATCATTGGGCTATGGCATATGCGAGGGAAGCCTCCGGTGGCAGTGTTTTGGACCCGAACTCGATGCGAATGCTGTCCAACAGCAATACTGTTCATATGGGAACCTGGCTGACGGAATCTAATGAACCTCAACCCTGGGGACTTCCTGTGATCGTTAGTCGCAGCTGGGTTGACTGCTGGCGGTAGGGCTGAGGGAAGGTTGCTTGGCACAGTCAAACACCTCGGATTGATGAACGTGATCACCCAGCGGAAAAGATTGTTTAACGCCATGTGGCTGAAGAAAATGTACCAATAGAGGATATCGCAATGCACCTGACAGTATCTAGCACTTATGTCGCGAATCCAGGGGCGGTGTATCTGACCTCTGAACCCATGAACCCGGCATAACACGAAGGCTTACCTCAGCTTGGTACACACGTGAGTGAGCGCGCGCAACTCCTTAGGAACTTTCGCGTACAGGGGCAGGGTCGTATCGAGGAGGCGTTCGCATAGACGCATCTCGGTCCGCCACAGATCTTGATTTGGCCAAACGAAGGACAGAATTCCCACCTCACCAGATCTCCTGATGTTGAAATACGACAGAGGGAAACAGCAGTTTTTTCTGAGAGCGATAGGTGTGTGCAAAAGTATGACTAGGAAAGTTACTGCAACAAGCACATGTGGTCGATAGAACAAGTAAAGTTAATTCTCATCCTACCTACTGATTCGCAGCGGACAGCGGGAATGCCAAGCCTCCATGCTCAGGGCGTATTGCGCATCCCATAGCCATCAGGCGATGGAAGGTGGCTTCTTATTTGGCCTCCTTCAGTAATGCCTCCATGGTAGCGTCCTTCTGACTGACACTGCCACTTCGTTCCGCAGGCTTGAGCTTGCCAGAGACTGGGCCTTCGCTATTTTGAGCAGCGTTCTTTAGCCGCTCGGTATCTTCAGGGTTTGTGTCCTGCTTCTTGACGTCCTTCTCCTCATCGTCGCTGTCGCCAAGGCTAAAGGGGTCGTGGTCATCGGGCTCTGGGTTTGGTGCGACTGAGGTGAGAGGCTGCCATTTCTTGCCGCTCGATTTACCCTGGCTGCCCTGGTTGTTCGGCGATGGGTTGCGGTACAGGGCATCGACCTCGTCAACGGGTCCGCTCTGGGGCGGAGAGACGGGCGTGGGCTTGAAGAGGTCGGGGTTGGCGTGCGGGCGACTTGACGATCGCGGGCCAGGGCCTGTAAGTTGTTAGCAGCTATTGCACGTGCGTGGTGCTTCCAGCCTACCCTCATTGTCTCTCAACTCGAGCTTTGCGAAGTCGTCGCCAATGACTCGGTTGTCAGCATCGTAGCGGTTGTGGTCTGCCGACCGTCGCTGCTCCGCTGACTTGCGAATGCCATGCATCTGGTCTGACTGCGATGGACCAAAGTTCTGCCTCTGCTGTGGCGGTGGTTGCCTTCCCGTGTACTGGACGTTGCCGTATCTGTCGTACTCTTCCATCTCGCCGCTGTCGAGCTTCTTGGTGAAGTTGCTGATCCACTTTGTGACGGTTTGCTTTGTTTCCTCGAAGCCCTGCTCGATATTCTTGCGGATCTCGGGGAGGTCGTCTGGCTCAATATTAGTAGCTGCACAGGGGTTGAGGTCGCGTGATCGTACCATCGAAGAAGCTGTGCTCCCGCTCGGGCTCACCAGGCCGTTGTCGCTGCCCCTGGCCACGCGATGCGTAACCACCCTGGCCCTCTGGACCGCCTTGACTTTGGTAGTGCTGAGCCAGTTGTCGCGCATATATCTCGTCCTGCTCGAGCTGACTACGGGGCTGCGGGCGCGGCGGTTGGGGCGGAGGAGCCTCCTCGGCCTTGAAGTTGGGATCCGACATGCCTGCGCTGGTTAGCTATACCCCTCACAACCATGAACCAAATAGGCAGCCACGTACTCAGCAGCGCGTTGAAGGCAGGCTCGACCTTGCCTCCGCTGGCCACCAGGACCGCCTTGACGACATTGGGGTCGACGTCGGGGAAAGCCTCAATCAGCGTGTTCTGCGCCTGCACCTGGGGGTCGACTGGTCGCGGGGGCTTTTGTGGTGGGATCTCTGTGGCTTCCTCGTTGAAGCGCACGCCGGGCTTAGGCGACTTGGAGGCTGGTGAGGGTGAAGTAGCATTGTCTTGGGTCGCAGATGCCGGGCCATCGTTATCATCGTCGAAGTCGAGCTCACGCGCCGTAGTCGGGCTCTCTGGAGGCTGCAGCTATTAGTGGGGGCTCCCTTCCTCATCCGTCTCTTTTTCGCTTACCTTTTCCGTGCTAGTTTTCTCAGACATGATAGTTGTATTTCCTTGTATAGGGGGAGTAATTTGCGGTTCGTTGGTGATTGTAGAAGGCAGTCGCGGTTGTTGAAGCTCTGGGCTCGTGAATGCCGCGCAGTGGCTCGTGGCTTGGAATGTTCCACTGCCACTGATGACGTTTCGCGCCAAGTGGGGCACCATCAACTCGACCAAGCTATCCCTACAGACCTCCAGTATTCACTCCCATCCCAAGTGTGCGTCGCGAATACCTCTTTGAAGTCACCACTCCGATTCCTTCTCAGTCATGTTCGAGCTTCAATTGTTGCATCTTCCATCCAGCTGTATACTCAAAGACTCGATAGGCCACCCGTCGTAGCTGACATTGGATACCATGTCAACAATAACTTCTCTAGTAGTATTCGCAAAGACAGTCGCCGCTCTCGATAAGCTCGAAGGCAATGCCTGCATTCCATACATCTAGCAGGCCATCGCTGCCGGTTTTGCATTGCTGCGCCACCGATCAGGCATCCAGCCACCCTCGCCGTGTGCCGTGTCTCGGCACCATCTTTTGTCTTTCGAAGTCTCTTGAGCTGCTACTGTCGTTCATGTCACATTCGTATCCTGCTTCAATATGTTAGTCGATGCACAGGTGATCCAAGATGATCATGAGTATGTGCCCATAGAGCCGTCCCCACAACAACTACTGACAATGCGCAGGCTGTACAGCATCACCAAAGCCGCGTATACGCGTCTGCCACGCGAGATACGCGACATGATCTTATCTAGCATTCTCACGCAAGACTATCGAGAAACAATTTACGTCCAGCAGTTCCGCGATGACTTCAAGGAATTCAAGGAGTTCTCCGGCCGCTTTTATGGGGATAACGGATTAGACTGGGAAGAGAACAGTTCACCTGAGCGTTGGGGGCCGCCCTGGATTTCGCTCTTTTACCCGCCTTTCGCAGCGGAAATGATTGACATACTCTACGAAAAGTACCCGCACTTCAAGATCACCACGCCGACCAAGCTCCCAGAATTTCTCAGCGCGGACATGTTCGGAGCGGGACGTGCCCCACGCGATGCGAAGCTTCCCAATCTAACTATCAAGGGATCATTGGATAAGGGAAGCTCCGACTCTGTCAGCGTCAAAACACTCGCATCCGATCTGAAAGCCCTTTCGGACTGCCGCTGGGCCCCAGACTTCCGACTCGACATCACCTTCCGCACCGAGCTAGGCATCTCCATCTTCAAAGCCAGCGCCGTACCTCGTGTGGCACGGAAAATACACAAGATCTGTCAAATAATGCGTCCTTGGATTATTGAAGCCGAGGAACGGGGTGCAAAAGTGTACTTTACGATAGCCACCAGGCGTCCGGGACAAGTTCACAGCTCGGTTCGGCCGGAATACACGACGTATGGATGCTTAGATGGAGAACGCGACATGTTCTATACTGAGAAAGAATGGGTGAAAGAGCTGAAAGGAACTCTAGGTCCAGAGTGCCAATGGTTCCGGCGGGAACGACCTGGACATACACAAAGAAAAGACATCTTGAAGCGATCGAGGCCGAAAGCTTATGCTGTGGCACACTTGATCGGGGCTGCATGGGGTTTAGTCTTCTGCATTTGCTGTTACCTACCCGCACAGGCAAGGGAGGACTGGAAAGATCGTAAGAAAAAAAGAAGTGTGTTACCGAGAGCTGTGTTACGTTGAGGTGTCATCGTACAACAGAACACTATCTCTGCACTATCATTGGGTATGTTGTAGTAGAATCAGAGTGTTTGGTAAAGGATGATCTATCAGATTCATCATTCAGATACCTGCATGTCGGTACGACCACGGAAATTGCACTTCTCCAATCGTTCTTGTGTCATCAAAAAGCTTTCGGGGAACCACTCCGGTTTCCCATTCATACTTCCAGCTTCCATCATCTTTACCAACGCCTCCGCAGATTTCAAACATAGCACCATACCGTGGCCGTTAAACCCCGCGGATATCCACAGGCCCTCTTTACCTGGCACCTCACCCACAAACGGCCGTCCGTCAGCCGTTGCGCCCATTATGCCCGTCCACTCCTGTACCACACGGCGCGATGCTTCTTCTTTAGACGTCTCACCCCAGTTCTCGGCGCCAAAATACCCAGTCAAGCTCTCGTTGAGGTACTTGGAGATCTCTGGGTTCAAGGTACTATCGTCAACCGTCCCATACTCGCTCGGACCGGCGTGAGGGAGACGGCCCAAACCACCACCAATGACAATGTGCTGTCCTCCTTCTGGTAGGGGCCGAGGAATCATGTACTCGTAGCCATCGCGGTAGATGAATGAGTATGTTGTCGGTAATGGAGCTGGCAGCTTCGTCGAGGTTCCTGGTCGCTGTGCGGTGATTTGTCCACGCATTGGTACGATAGCTCTTTGAAGTTCCTTCAGGATGTAAGGTGTGTAGCCGTTAGTTGCGATTACGACGTTCTTGGACGTGATGGTGTTTTCTTGGGTACACACATCCCAGCGATTACCACTCTCGCCTTCGGATTCCGCCGAGGGACGGATGTCGTGGACGGGCGTGTTCGTGCATAGCTGTAGTCCTTTCTTGACACACTCCGCCAACAACCCGGTCGTAAAACGATATGCGTGGATTCTGCCGGCTACGTATTCGAAGGCGCCCGCCAGCTTCTCTTTCGTTTCAATTGTTGGATTGCTGTTTTCCGCTGCAACAGAGAACTTGTCTTGTATGCTCGCGATATCTTCATGGATCTGGTACCATGCAGCATTCCCCACTTCCTTCTCCTTCTCCTCTGCATCAACTCGCAGCATCTGAATCGTCATCTTGCCCGCTTCAAATGTAGGCTTATCGTAGATAAGATCGACTGTGTTACACAACTTACTCTCGCAGTTCAAGGCCAATTCCTCCGCCATACGATGCGTCTCAACAATGTTGGCATATTCCAGCCTGGCGATCTTCAATGCCTCTTCTTTGCCAAGCTCTTGTACGTGGTGTGTGTAGCTGCGGTAGCTTGCCGCTTTAGTATGTCCGCCGTTGCGACCCGTGGCGCCTGAGCAGACTTCACGTGCTTCCAACATCAGCACGCGCGTGTCAGGCCAGGTGTTGAGGATATTGTAGGCGGTCATAGTGCCTGAGATACCGGATCCGATGACAACATAATCGTAGGTTTGCGTAGCCGTTGTAGCTTTTGGCTCAGTGACATTTGCAAGATGGGACTTGGGATCGTGCCAGTACGAAGGCAGTGGATTGGCGATGGGTGGCGCGACGGGGATGCGCGCTCGTTCCTCCATGTTAACTTTGGCTTGTTGGTGGCTTCTTCTTGTTTTGATGGAGTATTAAAGAATGAGTCTATATCAAAGATCATCAACAATTACAGAGCAGAATAGGACTCAAAAGTGATGCGACACATGGAGAGGAGACGATATCGTAGGAGTGGGGCGCGCATCGGCTGTACCTGCTATTTTGGGAGCGTCACTTCCCAGCGCGATACGTGGGTGGGCAGCGACGAGGTGTTGCTTCCACAAACGTCCATTGCTAGGTTCCGAATTCCACCACGTCGGATAAGGGACGCTTCATTTCCCTGTGCTTGATAGCATTGGAAAGCAAGGAGACGACTGTTCCGAGGGTGGATTCGCTTTTCCTACTCCAACGCTTATTGGCGGATGCGTCGGGCCAAAGATGTCCGGTAGCAAAGTCGTATAGATGGACTCATGGAGACAGTAATGTCTCGACACATATCCAACTCCAATGCAAAGACTATCGCAAGTTTCTCAGCACATCTCACCAACTCCTCGTGACGGTGCTACTACGACGAAGTCGAGCTCTACCCCGCCCAACGCCGATCGCGGTGACCCCTCAGCTGCACGAATCAACACCAACATGGCGAAGACCAAGGTCGTTGTAACGCGACAGTTGATTGACGAAGCGCAAGGACTCCTGGATGCGAAGAAAGAAGAATTGGAAGTTGTGCAATGGCAATCCGAAAAGGTGAGTGTCCGTCACTGGCGATAAGACGGGTTGCTGACGATGTGCATGCAGCCATGTCCGCGCCCATGGCTTCTCGAGAATGCGAAAGGTGCAAGCGGAATCCTAGTCATGCTCACAGATAAAGTCGATGAAGAGCTCTTAGAAGCAACCGGATCGCAATTGAAAGCCATCGCTTCATTCTCCGTCGGAACCGACCACGTTGATCGAAATGCGCTGAAGAAACGCGACGTACGTCTTGGCTACACACCAACATGTCTCACCGACGCCGTAGCAGACCTCACCATCATGCTCATTCTCATGGCCCAAAGAAGAGGTGGAGAGTCGATGACGAAAGTCGCAAAGGGCGAGTGGCCTCAGATGCCATGGCATCCACTGCTCATGACTGGCCCGCAGATCCGAGGATCAACTATCGGCTTCTTAGGATTCGGAAGGATCGCTCAGGCTTCGTTGCTAAGATTACTGCCGTTCGGGATCAAAAAGGTCATCTATCTCACGTCCAAGCCTGGCAAGCCCGTCAAAGAGGACCACTTCGGCCTGATCAAGAACGCTACTATCCCTATTGAACCGGCAAACAGTACGGATCAGCTTGCACAAGAGAGCGACGTAGTCGTTGTCGGATGCGCCCTCACGCCCGAAACCAAGCATCTCGTAAGTACAGACTTCTTCTCTAAGATGAAGAAGCTCGCCGTTATCGTCAACATTGCGCGCGGCCCCATCATCGACACTGATGCACTGGTGACGGCGCTGGATCAAGAGCAGATCTTCGGTGCCGGCTTGGACGTGATTGAGAATGAGCCCAACATCACAGCTGATCACCCGATTCTGAAGCAGCCAAGGGCTGTCCTTGTACCGCATATTGGCAGCGCTACGATTGAGACGCGGGTACAGATGGCTACGGAGAGTGTCAAGAACTTGCTCGCGGGGTTGGCAGGGGAGGAAATGGTGAACGAACTGCAGTTGTAGGGATATGTGACAAATATAGAATTACTTCACATCCAGCCTATATCTGGCCATACTGCGTGATATTCCCTCGACGTATACCCTACGTGGTATCACGACAACTCCACTTCGTTTCTAGCAACGCCCCATTTCCTCCAAGTGCGTTCTCCATTCAGCTTCATGCGTCACCCTCGTTCCACTCCGTCGTCTACAACCGGAATAGCAAAGCGGCCACGAATCGTTCGAAGAAGTTCCGTCCATCGTATCTCTGCAGCCCGGCATAGGCGAGTGCGAAGACCAGCCAAATCTCCAGCAAGGCTACGAACACCCAAAGAACAATGGTTACAGGATCCATCTTGACACGGGGAATGTGCGCGGTGTTGGCGTAGTAAACTGCCGAGATATGGGTGTGACTGCCGATGTCGAGGTATCGAAAGACTGATCGAGGGTTGCGAGTGGATGTTGATAACCCGTGGACTTTGTGAGGTGGTTGTTGATATGATCCAAGGTTGACTGTGACTTTAGATCTGCACCTACAGCTGGGTTGACGTGGCGAGGGAAAGAATTTGCGATGCGCAACGCGGCTGCTTATGGCAAATGCGTTCCCGAGAGTTGTATGGTTATTGTGGCCGTGCTACAGAGTACTTTCAGTGAGAGAATTTGCTAGGCGATTCCCATGACAGTGAATGCGAGCCGCCACTTCCATGGGCCCTTCACTGTCTCCATTTTCTCTCGATCCGATCACTTTAGACAGGCAGACAGCAGTAGGTTGCCAGCGATCCTGCAAGTGGTATCAAGAGTTGAGGGAACGTGTCGTTCGTAATGTCCACCATACCATCTGAGGACCTCGGGAAAGCGTTCAGTATGGTAATAAAGTAAGGCTGGAAGCAATGCTAGTCGCGATCGTTGATAAAGGTCGTCCTTGTGCGGTCTCGATCAAGCATCCGTCTTGCGAACTCAGAGCACAGGAGCAGTTACACGTACTCATTTGCGTTTAAATCGCCAGCATCGCGGACGGCTCAGCGGAACGTCTTGATATTTGTCTTCTTTGGAATTTTCCATCTTTAATGACACTGATACATCGCGTAGAGCTCATAGCAACGAGCAACGCATTCGATATATTGGACGCAAGTTTCTAACGAAATGACGGCGGTCGTGGTTGCGTACCTAGATAGGTTTGATGGGACTCACCCCTGCACTAGCCGGTTTGGGTTTGGACGATGTCGCCCGCACCCGTGGACGCGTTCCAGCCGCCCCGCCGACGCGCCTGCGCGATGTCTTCACGCTCGTTACTCCTCCTCACATTCGCCCATATGTATCAAAATAGCTTGAACCCTCCCGGCACCTGCGTCTGGAAAACACCCGTTGTATCGTACTTCCTCGCCACTTTCCTCATCCTTTCCAACTCAACTCCGCCATAGCTTCCCAGCGGATCCTGAAACGATGCTGCAAAGTTGAGATACTTGTACCGATGGAAGACACCCTCTTCCTTCGTCAGCCCTTCAACTAGCTTCACCAAGTCCTTCAAAGCTTCTTCAAACCCCTCGGTTGCCGTGACATCTTCAAACGTGAAGATTATCTGCAAGAATACCAGATCCTTCTCTGGCATCTCTTCTGGTTGAAAGCCTAAGCTATTAGGTGATGTGCCATTGCGAGGTGGTGCGGGAAGAGCCTGGAATGTGATCTCTGCGACAGGCTTAGCATAGGCGTACTGTGCCACAATCTCCGGGACGACTTCTTTCCACAAACTGTGGATGCGATGAATGATCGTAGGTGAGACGGCGAAAGAGGTCGTTGCCCAGATGGTGCGCTGAGGGTTTGCAGCCACTTGTCTCGATGCATTCCTGGTATGCTCACTGATCGGAGCTTCAACCATGCCATTTATGACTTGTGGCTTGGTCTCGAAAATCGCCTTCAGTGCCCCAGGCCTTTGCGCTGGCCGTGTGTACCACATGATGCTCACTGGAGTGAACGTAGCTGCTGTATGGTTGTATCGCACAGTGACCCAGCCCGCTGCGTATGGATCATATTCCCCGATCTTGAAATTGGTGAACGCAGACAGTAAAGGTGTCGTGGTATTTGGCCCGAATACGATTCTTCCACCATAGATGGGACCAGCAGGGAAGGCTGCCAAGTCAAAGCGCGAGACTATACCGAAGTTGAGCTGCCCTCCTTTGAGCGCCGCGAAGAGATCAGAGTGCGATGTAGCGTTGGCGTTGACAATCTTCCCGCTGGCGAGTACGACTTCGAAGTTGACGACGCCGTCACATGCCCATCCGCGCTCTGGGCTGAAGAAAGAGATTCCACCTGCGCGTTGTTGGTTAGTCTCCTAGTTTCAAAGATTGGTCACAAGAATCTCAGCTTACCTCCAGTCAGAAAGCCAGCAGTTCCGACGACGCCAATGCGACCTCCAAGTACCGTCAGATCCCGCTTCTCAGCCTCGTCGTATACGTCCTGCCACAGCGCTCCCGCACCGACCCTCACAACTTGATCTCCTCTCGTGACCTCGACCTTGTTCATGCTCTGCATGTCGATTGTTACGCCATCATCGATGTTGTTGAAGCCAACGTTCGCGTTGTGACCACCTCCTTTGATCGCAAACTTGGTGCTGTTGCTCACTCGCAGAACATTGATGGCGGTTGCTACATCTTCTGCGGATGTTGGGCGGACAATACACGATGGTCGCAGACGAAGCTGAAGGAATGGATATGATTGGATAGATGCGTTGTAGGTTGATGCTGCGGGGAAGAAGGTGCGGTTTGGCAGTACCAAGGCCAAGTCTTCACACGAATTGCTTGGATAGCCGTACGCAGACACTACGCCGAACAAGAAAACGCTAGCGAAAAAGAGATCGAGAAGACGCATGTTGCAGAAGGATGAGGTTGAGACACTTCGCTGGCACCACCACACGAGACTCTAGCTCCAATTTGAGCTTTCGCGACACTTCTGGCTCCGAGCATTCCAGCCGGCGCGGGAAACCATCACACCATTCCACGGGCACTGTACATCTGGAGTGCATATACGAAGCTTTATTAGTGGCGTCGTGATCCCGAGCCATCAGTCAGCCGCAGCCCGTGTGCCTCGATATGATTGGCGGACGTGGATTTTGGGATCTCAACCGGGTTGCAGAGATGCGGAGTAAGTTTTACACGACAGATGGGATGAGCTGAATTGTTACACAGGTGGGGAGCCGGTCTGGTATCAGTGCAGTGAACCAGCCATGAAGCGAAGATGGTGTGGGGTCAGAGATTTGATGCATCGTTGCTCTACGGGAAGTTTTCCAATCACGGTCCATCCGAGTTACTCCGCAAAGTTGCTATTTGGGGTATCATTGTTCAAGTCAACTGCCTAATTAGACCGTCCGCCTCTTCTCTCACTTCTTCAGCCCATCCAGAAAGCCTTGCATCACTCGAACAGCTGCGTCAACAACGTTAGTCGTATCTGCCATGGCCATGTTTCCCTTGGGATTGCGTTTCTTCTTCATCACAACGCGGTCGAGATCTCCAAGAAGCGTTGCCACAATCATGAACCCGTCGCTGGTAGGCGACTTCCAGTCCGCCTCTTTGTGTATTTTCTGTCCAGTAGCGCTGAATTTGGCTTGTTCCGCATCGATCTTCTCGCAAAGCTCGTTGCATTGCAGCGTCAGACTGATGTAGTCAAATTCCAGGCGGTCCAGAACGCGAGGAAGCTCTTCCGAGTTGCGAAGCTCCTTGATAAACGACGAGATGTTCAGGTCGCCCGAGCCCTGCGTCCGCGAAGAGACTTTACTCTGCTTGGCCATCTCCTCATCCATGCGATACCAAGTGCGCACTCCGGTTTCCCTCTGGTGAACATAGTCGCGGAGAATCTTCGTCATCGGAAGTGGTTCTAGCTCGCACGTCTTGTGAGTGCCTTTCCCAAAATCGCGGCGACTGTAAACATCCTTGTCCGTATTCCGAGTTTTCTTGATGAACGTGGTTGAGTACCCGGCTACAAGCAGTAGGCGCGAGTAGAATTCATCTGGTTTCGTGGGTATTGCTGTGGAGAAGATCTTCTTCGAATGCCGGTCCATGATGAGCTCAAGCTCCGGCCAGAGCCCGCTGATCCAGCCTCGCTTTTGGAAGCAGTTGTACAAATGGGCTATGGCGAAGATTTGCGGGCTGAGATTCGCAAAGCCGAGTCCCGTTTCCTCGCGCAGCAAGAGATGGACTAGGGAGAGCTTTGCTCTCAGAGTCGGAATGGTTTTACGCAAGAAGTCGCCGTCTCGTGGTGGAAGAATGTACTGGGCGGCAGCCGCTTGACGCGCAGACTCATTGCCAAGGCCATTGCTGACGTTACTCATCTTGAGGTTCATCATCCACTCTTTTTCAATTTCGGTAGTCCTGAACACCGGCCACGGGTAGTCGTTCTGCAAACCGCAGAACATATGCTCAGGCGCCAACTTCCACATCTTAGCGTACCGGGCATGAGAGAATGGCCGGTCTAAGATCAGACCTCGGTGTGTATACCCTGAGTCTGTGACTTGCTGAAGTAGATGTGGGAAGCGGATTCCCCGTTCATGCCAAGATGCGAACTGGGTTTCTTCATCCCTCGCCCGTCGTGACATTGGTATGTAATCCCTCAGCGAACGCTTTTGGTCTTTCGTTCGAATTCTGATCATCAACTCGGCGGCGAATATGAAAACCATTGAGATGAAGCCGAAAGAACCCAGCGAACCGTACGCGCGAGACAGAGCGTCTGATGATCCTGCTATTAGTGGCATCTGGTACTGTTCCTCATGTGACCTTCTGGCTTGCTATACAATGGTAAGTAATCAGTGTGGATAGAGATCAGAGTTTTGTTGAACCAAGGAAGACTTACTGGTTCTAGTGCTGCTTCGAACAAGTAGTGTACTAGGAAGTCGTAGTCCTCGTTTGAATGCCGGTTCGCGACGTCATCTTGGATGATCGACCGCGATGCGAAGAACAAATACTCCCCTGGTTGTGAACGTCGCTCCGCCTCGATCTTTCTGAGCGCTTTCGAGGTCTTGCCGAAGAAGTCATCGTCATCGAGAGAGGGATCGAATGGCGGCAGCCCTTTCTCATGAGCTTCTTTTACCATGGCCTCTTCCTTGTGGCGTATGAGATGAAACGCAGCTTCCGTCATGAGAGTAGCTCGGGCCTCATCCAAGTAATCTTCATCGCCATTGGCCTTGTGAGTGTCGTTCCAGTCGGACTCCAATTGCTCGACGATGATGCGCATATCGTCCGCCAGACAAGACTTCCTCAAAGCGATCTCTTCTTTGGCTTTCCTCTCCGTTTCGAGTTCAGCCTCCGCATCTTGTTTGACCTTCATGTCGAGCTCAAATTTCCGAGCTAGCTCATCCAGCTTGTGGCCTTGTGCTTCTCGTTCGGCCTCAGCAGATGTAATGTCTTCGGCTATGGTCTCCTGGCTATCACCAACGACCTGTGGTGCGGATGCAGATACCGAGAGCAAAGATTTCGTTGAAGTCGGTTCAGTCGCGATGTTAAATCGAAGTTGCGCAGGTGCTGCAGTCTCCGGTCGGCTCACCGCCTGCACTGCGATCTTCTTCTTTAGGATGGTGTGACAGTGTTTCAACAGCCACAGGAAGTAGATGTGGCCATCGTCCGAAGCCGTCTTCGACAGTTCTTCCTGGGCATAGCGGTCGGCGTAGGCCTGGCGCGTTCTCACAGCCCGCTTGTAGGAGTACCAAACAAACTTGGGCATTGTCGAGGTCTCCTCATGGTCTGCGATATGTTTCGCCAAGTCGAGGATCTTTTCCGTCGAGATAACATAATTGGTTTTCGACGCGGTCGCTCGGTTGGTCACTTGCTTTGCTTGCTTCCTCGCTTGGCCTTTCAGCCGTCTCGAGGGTTGCTGGGTTTCGGCTGGATCAGCGATGTCGTAGTCCCGCTTCTTCGCAGTGTCGATGAGCCAGAAGATGAAGCGCTTGGTGTCAAGCTTGTACTGCTCGTACGAGCCCGCTGTTGATACCGTCGCCATGAGATGTTGCTTGAGCGGATTGTATATAGGAAATTGCTGGTGTGGGGGAAGACAATGGGGTATAAAGGTCGTGGTTGAGTCTGTGAGCAACGTATAGAACAAATGCGGTGAGCTAATGTGGAAATTTGTATTGGTCGCGTGGGATTTGACGAGCCAAGCCCTGTCTGTAGAAAGGGAAACCCCGCAATGACGGAGGCCAATTTGCTCGAGTAGTGAAACAGGTGGACATCAGCGTTATATAATGCGTTTGCCTGACGAAGTGCAGAATGACTGGCTAGAGAAGTCTTGAAGAAGGCGCTTTCCGTCGCTTTATACCCTTAAATTAATTGCGTGGTTAGGTCAGGCGCACTGAGCAAACGACACTGCGGAGGCCAGCGCAATCACGACAATCAGAATGGGAATTGCTAGTAATCGAGTAATGAAGAAACACCTGTGGAATTGGAACCAGATCGCTGAAAATCGTCGTTATAGTGGTATGGAGGAAGGCCTTCGAAGACCCGAGCAGAGTATGGGCTCCCCCAAAATTCCGGATCTATTCAACGTCTGTCCGTGGGTATGACATCATTGTCGAATTGGAGAGTAAAGCGAAATCTGACCGACGAAGAACAGCGTCATTGCGAGGATAGCGACAGTACTAAACGTGACGGCAACCTTTTGGACGTGTCAGAACATAATGTAGAACGGATGTCATACGAACGTACCTTGGTATTATCGTCCCACAGTGTTGGATGGTGCAGGTGTGTGGTCGCAGACCAGACGTGCAGGAACATTCCAACGACCATGCAGACAGTAGCGGAGGTCAAAAACATCACTGGCATTTGCCATGTGACGATTTGGAGCAAGCTAGGTGTCCGACGTCCAGTCTTGGATGAGTGGCTCTTCTCGCCGTTCGTCTTGGCAATCAGCTTTCGAATATTGGCCAATCCATCGCGATGTGATGAAAGGCGGTGCAGTCGTACGGTCTGATCAGCAGCTGTAAGGATGCTGAAAAGCGACAATATGATACCGCAGTACCATGATGTGCGCACAGACCATGGCGATTCTTTCCCATTTGGCAAGATGTTCGGCCAGCTTCCGGTGGATGTGAGAACGCCAGCTAAAAGGGCGGCCTGTCATGTATTAGCATGTCGGATGCTATAGAGAGCGTCGACGTTGATCGAGGAAAGCCATTGCAACGGATGGTGCCCGTCCTAGCCATGTCACGATTCGGCGTGAAGCATGCGCCATGTGGAAGGCACGGCGCCGAGTGTATTAACCTTGAAAAGAGCTGTTCGGAGACTTACCACAACACCAACGAAGTTGAGCTCACTGAGCTTGTTGTCTCGCCATAGCGTGGTGAGTTCGTCCTTCTCGTCTGCGTCTTCGGTGTTGAGCAATATCTCCAGGGGGTCATACGTGGTGGAGTCGGGAGCATAGATGCCACCACCAAAGAATTGTAGCACACTCGTAAAGGTCCACCTAGGGCCTTCATTCTCCTGTCCTATCCTCTGATGTGCTGACCTCCCCAGTAGTGGAGTGCGCGAGCCGGACGTGCCTCTTTCCTCAGCGTCGTTGTCGTACGTCATAGCTCCTGAAGCTCTCGTGGTTTCAGTGTTAGCTGGTCGCTGGTGTTATCGGACCGGATTCGGTGGGGTTCCTGGAGCTTTAAGAACACGAGGGTAACATGGAGTGTTGCTGTAAGTACGTGTTGCACGGTAGCATTCATCCGGTTTCTGTGGAGGGTAGGAGGTCGCGTGCCTAGCCGTGCAGCCGCTTGGTGACGTATTTTGGCGCGTGAGCTACGCCAGCCAACGCGATCTTCACAGTATCTACCATATTGCGCGAATAACACTAGGCTGAGATGCACGTTGCTACTGAAAGCACATCTGGAGATGCATCGAAATGGAGAATACCATGGGGAGGTTGGTGTCGCCGTCTGAGTGGCTGGGTGTCGGCACAACGGCTACCCCGCGACATCGGGAGGGTTGACGCGCCCCACGAAGATACCCACGCGTTGAGATGCACTACATCTGTTGGCCATCGCGACTGGCTCGGCCCACATACGGCTATGACGTTAACCACTATGCACCGCATCTCGCAATGCTAAAAACAACGAAACTTCACGACATAACGCCTCCATCCAAAAAGTAGAATCTCCACAATGTCGCAAAAGAAAGGCCTGTATGTCGGAACCGACAAGCACCGCTGGTGGAAAGAAGCGGTAGTATACCAGGTATGAACGACCCACCATTATGCCGATGCAGATATTGACGCGAACAACAGATCTACCCTGCTTCGTTTCTAGACAGCAATGGCGATGGTTGGGGCGACGTCCCTGGTATCACACAAAAGCTAGACTACTTGAAAGACCTCGGTGTTGATGTGATATGGGTATCGCCAATCTACAAGAGCCCACAAGGTAGGTCCTGTGTGCGGAAGATGTATGTGAACCAGATGCTGACTTTTTGTAGCGGATATGGGGTACGACATTGCAGACTACGAGGATATCGACCCCAGCTATGGCACCTTAGCCGACGTTGACAACCTGATCAAAGAAGTCAAGAAGCGTGACATGAAACTCGTCATGGACCTCGTGGTCAACCATACTTCGGAAGAGCATGCATGGTTTCTGGACTCGCGTTCATCAAAGGAGTCTTCGAAGCGCGACTGGTATATCTGGAAGCCTGCAAAGTACGATGCTGATGGAAATCGCCTGCCTCCAAACAACTGGGCGCAGATCCTAGGAGAGGCCAACTCTGCGTGGACCTGGGACGAGAAGACCCAGGAGTACTATCTGTCGCTCTTTACGCCCGAACAACCGGATCTCAACTGGGAAAACCCCGATGTTCGTGCAGCTGTACACGACATCCTGCGCTTTTGGCTCGACAAGGGTGTCTCTGGGTTCCGCATGGATGTTATCAACATGATATCGAAGGTACAGACGTTCCCTGATGCGGCCATTTCGGTCAAAGACAACAAGTACCAGCCTGGCGACAAATACTATGCCAACGGCCCAAGACTACACGAGTGGCTGAAGGAACTTCGGCGCGACGTCCTCTCGAAATACGACACGCTCACCGTTGGAGAAATGCCATTCGTCCGCGATGATGACGAAGTCATCAAAGTCGTCGGTGCCGAGAGCGAAGAGCTGAACATGATCTTCGTCTTCGACTTGGTTGACATCGACAACGTACCGGGCGATTTCAAGTACACCCTACAACCATGGGATGCGCGTGATCTGAAGAAGATCGTAAACAGGCTGCAGCGTCTGATGCTCGAGCGCGACGGCTGGAACTCGCTCTACGTGGAAAACCATGACCAGCCCCGAAGTGTAAGCAGGTTCACCGATGACAGCGACCAGTGGCGCGAGTATGGCGCAAAATTGTTGTGCTTGATGCAGAATACCCTCGCCGGAACGTTGTATGTATACCAAGGTGAGGAGATTGGCATGCGCAACGTGCCTAAAGAGTGGAAACCCGAGGAGTACAAGGATATCGAAAGTATCAACTTCTTCAAGAAGTACCGCGACCTCTACCCCGGCGATGCTGAAAAGCAAGCTCTAGCAGCCAAGATCATGGTAAGTCCAGGCTGTAAGATAGGAAATGAGACATAAGCTGACTACCTAATGTTATCTACACAGCAACGCAAAGCTCGCGACAGCGCCAGAACACCCATGCAATGGGACTCATCCGCCCAAGCCGGTTTCACCAGCGGAAAGCCCTGGATGCGCGTCAACGACGACTATCCCAGCATCAACGCCGCAGCTCAACTCGCAAATCCTGAACCCTCGCCCGGTATGCTCTCCGTGCGCGCATTCTGGAAGCGCGGTCTCGAGTGTCGCAAGGAGAACAAGGACGTCTTCGTGTACGGTGATTTCGAGATGCTCGATATGGAGGATCAGAAGGTTGTTGCGTATCGGCGGTGGAGTGAGAAGAATGCTTTCATCACTGTGCTGAATTTCAGTGGAGAGCAGATGGTGTGGGAGAAGATGGGTGATCTGAAAGTGAAGAAGTGGGTTGCTGGCAACTATGACGAGAGGCAGTTGGATGAGAAGGCGAAGAGTGGGAAGCTGGAGTTGAGGCCTTGGGAGGCTGTGCTGGGTATGTTGGAGTAAGGTCCAACTTAGTGGCAATGACGGAGCTGTGTTGTTTCTGGGTCTGCCGCTTGCCTTAGATTATGAGACTCTGCGGATTGCGATCTCTCTCATTTGATGAGGAGTACCTTTTGCGTATGTTAGACTATGAGAATCACTGATAGAAAGAGTTGCCTCGTCTGAGTCAAGCAAACGTAGAGAATCAAAGTAGACTGCAGAAGAGTAAAAGGTTTTAAGTAAAGTGATGAATTAAAAGTCATATCTCGAATCCTAACGTTCGTCCAATCCAGAGTCTAATGTACAAGAAGCATGCGTGATGCTTCAGCTACAACCGCTTAGTAGTGGGAGCCGGAGCCGGAGCCAGATCCAGAGCCGGAAGCACCGCCTCCAACAGAGCCAGAGGCACCGCCGGAAGCACCACCTCCAACTGAGCCAGAGCCACCAGCACCGGCACCAGCACCACCGCCAACAGATCCGGAAGCACCGCCACCAACAGAGCCGCCAACACCAGCACCAGCGTTACCACCAGCACCGGCACCGACACCAGCACCGCCGTGAACGCCACCTCCAACAGAGCCGCCAACACCGGCACCAGCACCACCGTGAGCACCGCCGCCGACGCCAGCACCAACACCGGCACCACCGTGAGCACCGCCACCGATACCAGCACCAACACCGCCGTTGGCACCACCGCCGACGGAACCGCCAACACCGGCACCACCACCGACTGAGCCACCGACACCAGCACCAGCACCTCCGTTAGCGCCACCTCCGACAGAGCCGGAAGCACCACCTCCAACAGAGCCACCGACACCAGCACCAGCGCCGCCGTTGGCACCACCTCCAACGGAGCCGCCTACACCTCCACCGACGGATCCAGATGCACCACCGCCGACACCAGCACCAACACCGCCGTTGGCACCACCGCCGACAGAGCCGTTTGCTCCACCACCGACTGAGCCACCGACGCCGGCACCAGCTCCTCCTCCAACGCCAGCACCAGCACCGCCGTGGGCACCTCCGCCAACGGAGCCACCGACACCAGCACCAGCTCCTCCTCCTACACCGGCACCAGCACCTCCGTGAGCGCCGCCGTTGGCACCTCCGTGAGCACCACCGCCGATTCCGCCCATGAGGCCGCCGAGGCCACCGAGTCCGCCCTTGCCAGCGCCGCCAAGTCCGCCCATGAGGCCACCGAAGCCGCCGAGTCCGCCCTTGCCACCAGCAGCGCCTCCAGCACCAGCAGCGCCGCCAATGCCGGGGATAGCAAGGCCACCACCGATGCCAGGGAGCTTGCCACCAGCAGAGCCACCGAGGCCAGGGAGCTTGCCGCCGCCGGGCATGAAGCCACCGATCATGCCACCGAGGCCGCCCTTGCCACCAGAAGAGCCACCGAGTCCAGGGAGACCGGCACCGATACCGCCGCCGTAGCTGGGCTTGCCGCCGCTGCCGCTGCTGGGAGTCTCATCGGAAGCACCAGAGTCGTAGCTGGGGCCTGAGCTGGAGCCAGATCCGTAGCTGGGAGAAGTTCCAGTGGTGATGGGAGCAGCTGGGGTAGTGCCAGAGCCGGGGCCGTAGTTGGTAGGGAGAGCAGAAGCGATGCTAGCGATAGCAAGAACCTGAGCGATTTGGAACTTCATGTTTGCTGTTGTAGATTGATTGATGTGTTTGACGAAAAGTCGAGTATTGGACGATTTGCGATATGAGATCGAGTAAAAATGTGATAGAAGTGAAGTGCTCTGCACAAACGATAGTAAGGACTAATAAAGTCGAGTAGTAGTAGTAACGAAAGTGTTGTTGGTTGCTGAAAGCGAAAGTGTGAAGTAGATGAGATCAAAGCTGATGCCTTTTTACTTTTGGCGCTGGGAACATGAGGTCTTATACTCGAGGGTTCTGAGTCGCATGGTAGACCTTTCGTAGGTAGTAGACAGCCGTAGTCAGTGACCAGAGTGGCCCCTGAGCATGATGGTGGCGAGCCTCACAGTAGCTTCGTTTCGAAACATAGTGACTCTATTGAAAGAGTGATGAAGGGTTGTCTAGATTGTCTGTTTCACGCTATCTGCTGCGGGATCGACGGCAGGTAGACGGGAGATGCCTGAGCTGCGCAGGGTAGAGTGAGGGTAAAGCAGGTTAGAGTTGCGGGAGATGCCCCGATGTGCGCAGGGAGGGAAGGTTAGCCTGGCTTCTCCGCACCGTGCGAATGTGCAGCCTTGCGGCCTTGAAACTAAAGTGGGTTGAGCTCGGGTCGTTCGAGGGGAAAATAGTAGCATTAGCGCATCCTTTATTCGTGATGTCGTCGAGTCGCACACCGATGTGGGTGGTAGCGCAAGCAGGAGTTCGTGAGGTCGGCTATCTTGGCTGCAGTTAGGTGGTGGTGGAATCCGCCGTTCCAGGAGTGCCGCTAGGCTTGTTTCAGCCACCACCAGCACCATCGCGACTGACATCCGTCATCCTCCGCCTCCCCCAACAGAGATTCTCATCAGCAGCTGTGATAACTAAGAGACGTCGCATCGAAAATAGCTACACAATGCTTACCTCTGTCCAGGTACACCGCGGCAACCGGCTAAATCGATCCGGCCTGTGCGTCATAGAGTTTGAAGTGGTACCTGAGCTTGCCGACCGACGACTTTGGCCTAGGACTGCCCGACTACTCAAGCTTTAATTGCGCATGAGCCTCTTCCTTACTAACTACCCGGCAACATTCGCATCGTCGTTTCTGGCACATCCCTTTTGGGGTTCGGAGACCCTGTCGTCCGTTGCAAACAAACAAATAAGTTTATGCTACGGTTCTGGATCCCTGGAGATCTGCCATCATACCCAGATGTGGCGATGCTTGGATGTTTCGCCAATCGCATTCCAGCTGCTAGGATTCGATTTCGTCCTTGAAAAGACTGGTGCTGATGACGAGATTTGTGACAACGTGACGAGATGGACTGGCCGGTCTATCGAACGCGGAACTTACCTTCGCACGAAGCCGCGGACCTGCGTCGTGGGTGTCCCCTATTCTCGTTGCGAGTCGATTCCCAGCGGCGTCTCCACAGCGAAGAAGGCTATTCCATGCGTCCAGACAGTCGAAGTGGAGTCATAGTCACAGTGGCTCTTCGCTGTCGTGACTCGGCCTGGCAACGCCAACGCCAGCTTGCCTGACAGGCTGGAGCCGCACTTACCAGTTCGGTACTTGTCGACAAGAAGACGACTACTCAGTATGTTTCAATGAGCCCACTTCAGTGCAAAGAGCTGCGCACAATGTTCGTGTTCACCGCCAGTGCTCAATGCGGCCAACCTGACATCCATTACCTAACGACGAGAAGCTACTCAACGGAATATGCTCTTACCGCCCAAGGCAGTGCAGAGGTCTGACAACCAGCCTCGCACACCAGCATCTTGCAGTTAGAGCGCGCGAAGATCCCAATCGAACACCGCACTAGTCCAGGAAGACACCGATACCCTCATCACTGCTGTAGCCAAAGTCACGGAATCCCAGGTACCTGAACTATTGATTTGTATAGGCTTTGTTGCCGGTGTGTGCTGTCAAACTTTGAGATTATCCTACGGGTATCGAAACACTAACTGCTCCATCAACGCCATCGCAAACCCAAAACAATCCAACAAAGTCATCGTCTTCCATCGCACTGTATCCGTCCTATACCTCGCCATCAATGACGACACCCAGTTTAGTGGTGTCGCACTGATTGGTATAGTCTCCATCTCTTTCTTTCCACTCAATGTCCTTGCTCCCTTCCACGGGCCAAGGACCTAGAGCCTTGTAGAATCTACCGCGACTGCGCATGCTTACTGTATCCCATGCCACTAGAAACGAAGACTGACGTCTCGTCCTTCTTCGCTGACCCGGCATTCTGCCAGCCGTGCTCGATCACGGGGGCGCGTCTGGAAGGTGTGGTGACGGGAGTCTTCGGTCCCGGTGTGCTCGAGCCGGGAACATCGTGCATGCTGGGAGCGCCCCTTTTGCAGACCTAGAACGCATGTATGTTAGCGAGGCACTGAATAGATATTGTTTAGGATAATGTTACCTTGAGATGAGAGCCGTGAAACCATTGCCCGTGTGCTTTGTCGAATTCACGCTCGCAGTGCCAGCACGTAATCGACTCTGCCTTCGGCTTTGTCTGCTTCGGCTGCTGGTAGCCAGTCAAACCGAGCTTACCCAGAAGACTTTTCTTCTTCTCGGGGGTCCATTTCGCGAAGTCATCGCACCCGTCGAGATGGTCGCGGCAGGCATCCTGGCTATCCGTCACCAAGAAACGATACTTGCAGGCACATGTATCTTTCGGGGGCTTCTCTGGGGTCGCCTTCGCTGGGGCGGGCGCGATTGTAGGCGCCTTGGTGGGTTGGACCACCTGCTCTTCAAGCCGGTCAAAAGTGTCATCAATGGCCTTAGCCAGCTCTTTGACGTCGGGATGAGCCTCCACAAGTGCAGGAACAAACTTCTTCAAGAACTCCCACTGGTGATCGAACGTTCCTTCCAGCTCATACCGTCCACGACGTATCTTCATCGCAGTCTCAAGGTCACCCAGGTGCTCCGCAGGCCTGACTATCAATTAATTAGGAGGGGTATTTTGGTAAAGAATATTCTGAGCTTACATTCAGAGTCGCGTCGCATTCTGGCCCTTATCTCTGGAAGGCGATCGTTCAAAGGCTTGCCCAACCTCTTCAGGACGGATGGCAGGCACATGTTGACGTTTTCGATGATGCCGTAGACTGCATTCCACTCATTTGTCATGGAAAGGATTGTCTCTTGCTGTGAATCGACAAGGACTTTCAGACCATCGGTTGAGGATGGTTGCTTGTTGAGCTTGGCCATGTCGAGGTCTTTACGCAGTGCTTCAAGCTCCTCATCTTTGCGGGCTATGACAGCGGTGTGTTGGGTGTGGAGTGAGCCAATCTCTGATTCCTTGCCAGAGATGGCGATGGCGTGGTCGTCGCGTGCTTGCTTCAGCTCTGCGTCCTTGCGAGAGATGGCAGCGGCGTGCTCGGTGTGGAGTGAGCCAATCTCTGATTCCTTGCCAGAGATGGCAGCGGCGTGTTTTGTGTGAAGTGTGCCGATCTCTGATTCCTTGCCAGAGATGGCGATGGCGAGTTCGTAGTGTGCTTCCTGCAGCTCTGCCTCCTTGAGATTGATCGCGGTAGCATGCTCGGCGCGTGAGTGTTGCAGCTTCTTAGATTCATCGGCCTTTTGCTCCCTAGCCAGATCGAGCTCTCTGCGCAGCTCCTGCATTTGGGTTTCATGGCGAGACGCAATGGTGTCGAGCTCTTGGTCTTTGAGGGCCATGGCGGCCGTGTGCTCGATGCTTAAGTCTTTTAGCTTATTGGCTTCGTCCTCCTTTTGCTGAGTGACCAAAATGAGCTCTTCACGAAGCTTCCGCATTGCGTCATCATGGCTAGATACCAAAGCGTCGAGCTCTTTGACTTTTTCGTCCTTTTGCAGCTGAACCGAATCGACCTCTTCACGAAGCTTTTGCGTTTCGATTCCATGGCGAGTGATGATCGCAGCTTCAGACTGGTGTTTGGCTTCGAGCTGCCCGTCTTTAGCGGTGATGGCGACAACATGTTCGGCGCGTAATCTTTCGAGCTCCGCATCTTTGGCGTTGATTGTAGCAGCGAGATCGTTGCGCAAGCCTTCATCCTTCTTCTCTTTGGTTGAGAGAGCGACTTGATACTTCCTGCGATGCTCCTGCATCTCCTTGCTCTTACGAGAAATAGCGTCCCTGTTTAGCTGTTTGAGTTCTCTCAGGTCCTTCTCCCTGTTGGAGACGACATCTGCGTGTTGCTCTTTGAGAGCCGAGATGTCATCTTTGAGCTGGCGAACGAGCTCGTGGGCAGCATCCAGATCGTGAGTCTTCTTCTCGAGACCATCTTCACCGTTCAACTGCTCTTTGGCTGTATTCAGCTTCGTCTGAAGTTGATGGCGCGCAGTCTCAAGGTCTGCACACTCGCGTTCCAGATCACTCATCTGACCTTTGACATCCTGAAGCTCTTCCTCGACAGCGTCGGCTCGCTCGTTCGCCTCTTGTGTGGACTGACGCATAAGCTGGATCTGGTCCTCGAGTCTCGCCACTCTTCCGGAACTGTTGGCGTGGTTGATATCAGCCCGTCGCAGCTCAATCTTACATCGGCGTAGTGACTCCTCGATTTTCAACTTGTTGGCGGTCACCTTCTGCAGTCGCACCTTCGATCGTTGACAGTCATCGGTCAAGTCAGCTGCGTTGGTTAAAGCCGTGTCGAGCTCCGCATCCTTGTGGCGAAGCTCTTCAAACATGTCGTTGTTCTCGTCCTCAAGTGCACCGATCCGGGTGTCTTTCTTTTTACTGGCTCGTCTAACAGAAGAATGAACATGTTTCAGCTTGTCGATGTTGTTGGCGTGATGTGTGATGTGCGTGGAGGGTGCGGCGAGGTCAGTGAAGAGAGATGTGATCACGTTATCCAGTGCAGTAACCGATGGCGTGAGCTTGTTGTTCTTGAACGCGAGCTGGACCTGTTCTAGTTGTTCTTGATCCAGGCGGTTCTCGACCTTGCGTAGGCGTCGACTAAACGAGTTCCGGGTGATGACATGGAGATGCTTTCGCGGCACATTGGAGGCTAGCTTCCTGGCGTCCGAAAGATCTGCTTTCTTCGAGAGGCGTTTACTGAATTTCTTCTCTTTGGTGACGTTGCTCTCGAGCGACTTTAGACCTATGTCTATCTTATTGAAGCAATAGATCATCTTCGATTCCAGCGAGTGTATTGCCTTGAGGACGATAGAGGTGCCAAACGTGAGATCGAATCGACGGTTCATGCCGGGGTGGCGAGGAGCAAGGAAGAGAAAGTAGATGAAGGTGAATGCAGCGCAAAGTAGAGCCATTCGCCTAAAGTTTGGTTTCCTGAGTCAGTATATATGTCACACATAGTTCACGCCTGGGTACTACTTACAGCTCGGCGATACTATCTTCGGAGGGATGCTTGTGCAGCTGCAGCTCGAAGAAATTGATGTGTAAGACACCGCGGAACAGAATGTCACAGATGTCGTGGGCGACAGTGACATTGGACAGTACGCCGTAGAGGAGGCCAAACACTAGAAGCATCTGCTCCCAGAAATTCATGATGGCGGTGGGGTGCGCGAAGCGCAAACAAAGTAACTGAGTGTATCAGGAGTAATCAGGGGAAGAGTGAAGTAGTTGAAGTTCAAGAAATGAAGAAGAGGTGGGTGTTTTGGGTGGTAGTGTTGAGGGAGGCAGGGTCGCTGAAATCGCGACACCAAATTTGCTATCGCGGAACAAAGTATCGGCTGTGCGAAATAAGCGAGGCGGTGTTGCGTCATTGAATCAGGTGAGCTCGAGATCAGATGGTGGAGAAGTGAAAGTGAAAGTGAAAGAGCGCGCAGTTTGCGTTCGATCGGTGGCCCGCGCGGATTGGGCAGGAGCGAGTGGTTGTGACCGGACATAATTATCTAGAGGGCGCTGAACCTACTTCGCTGTACTTGATAAGACGATACAGGCTTTCTTATTAGAAGTAGCCTGTAGAAGTAATGCTTGAATGTGGAATTGATGTTGAAGGAGTAAGAGACACTGGAGAACGAGGAAGACTGGACAGAGAAGTTCAAAGCATACAAACGCGAACAAGCACATGTCATGGTAAACGCTCTTCTTTACGCGTAAGATATCACACAATCTCGCTTCAGCTGTGTAAATGCTTACCAAAATATGTTTCCATCGTTTGCCATGTATCCCAATGGGGAGTCGTGTGCTCTTAAGGGTCACGCGAACCACTGAACTGCGAACGACGAGTAGATAGCATGTTTGAGCGTTTGCTGCGGTGAGCACAAGTACGATATGAACTGATGAATGATGTAGATGAAGTAACGTAAAATAGATCTTGGTTCACTACGAAAAGGCCAAGTTTCTCCAAGAACTCGACCGAGAAGATGAATAAGTCTATCAAGGATTCGCTAATGCTAAACATGCGTCAACTGCAAGACCGACCCTAGACAATCATTAGTATCTGGCAACATGCATGGAATGAATCGAAAAAGAACTTACCGGCCCTCTTTCTGCCGCACGACATCGTCGATGACATCCCGGTCCAGCTGGGGAAACATGCCTGTCAGCGTCTCGACTACGACTTTGTGTTCCTGTCGTTGAATCCGCCTCGCTTCCTCCGCTTCAGCTGAAGCCTGTCGCGCTGCGGCGTCTTCAGCCGTCAACCTCTGCCTTTGCCGGTCTTCGTCATGCGACGGGCGTTGCTTCTCGCTCATGTTGCCGGGAAACTCTGTTGACGCACGTGGCGGTAATTGTGGTTTCTGGGCCGCTGCAGGTCCAGACGGATGGTTTGTATCGTTGTCGGAGAAAATACGACCGATGGTGCTGAGCGGCCGTTGTATTGTTCGCAGTAGGCCTGCGACGGCTGCGTTCTCTTCCTCTGGCTGCTCCGCTTCGGACTTGCGATCCTTCAGACTTGTTGACCGTCTCGGCCCTGCGGTCTCTGCCTCCATGGAGTTTCTTTGTGTAAGCTCTGGTCGCAGTGGTGTCGTCTTTTCCGCTATATGATGATAATGGGGTGATGGCATACGCTTGTGGCCAGGCGCAGTAGGATGCAACAATGCGGATGATGATGAAGATTCGGCCTCTTCAGCTGCGTGACGCTCAGCGATGGCCGACACGGCTGCTTCGACATTCTTCTCAAAGTCCTCGTCGGTCACTGTCAATGACGTCTTATCAAGACCCTCGATGAACTGGATGGCGCCCATCAGCGATGATATGTAGTAGCCAGCTTCTCCACCAAGCTTGTCCTGATTCCGGAACCGCAAAATGTATTGTACATTGGAGACGAGATGATCGGGGTTCGCTTGTAGTACTGTGTAAATGAGCAGTGGTACGAAAGCATCGGCTGATTGATCAGAGTTTGACGTCCGCAGAAAACCAAAGATGACCTTGCAGCAATTCAAGATGCAGATAATCTTGTCCCTAGGCGCCCGATAGCTTTTGATCTTCAATAGCTCCTGCTGAGCGAGATGCAAAAACTTGCGGCCCTTGTCGCCTACCGGTTTGATATCCAGATGCTCTTCGCTGACCCATTTGTATATGCGCACCTTCTGCGCTAAGACCTCATCCCGCTCTACATCCTCCTGATGCTGGCCCCTACGGCCTGGTCCAGGCGGTTCCTGTCTCCGTCGACCCTTGCGTGGTGATGCTGGCTCTGGAGGCGGGATCGCAGGAGAAAATGTTTGTGTGTATAACCGGTTCATGACTAGCTTCTCCATGCCTTCTCTCGCGTTGTCGAACTCGGCGTCTGAGACGGTCCGCCAGACTTCACACTGTGCCATCTTCTTGCTGATGAATTCGAGGAAGTCACCGATGATCTTGACTTGCTCATGTACCATCCATTGCTTCTTTCCAAACTCGAGCAGGAAAGAGCGCAGAAACTTGGCAACGGGGTCTGCTGTCCGATGGCGTAGTTGTTCGAGGAAGCGGTGGAAGTCGAAGGGTAGGTCTGGTTCGGGCTCGGGTGCTGGCTGTGCTGGCTTGTACTTCGAGGCATGTGCGCTGGGCGATGACGGTTCGGCGAAGGATGTGCCGGTGCCGACGCGATGTAGGGAGGATGTGCGAGGAGGCGGTGATTGGAGCGGGGCAGTCGAGGCTGAATCGTCAGCCGGAATGGGCAAGGGCTTGTCGAGCGGCACGAGACTTGATCTTCGCGGTGGATACGGCGTCGACGGCGATTCCAGCATGGGGTTCGCAATTTCCAATCTGGGTGACATGATCTCATTCTCACCAGGCCCACCGTCCCCCTGGAACTGATCCATGATGCTCTGTATCTCCTCCTGCGAGTTGTCTACCGCGTCGCTTGTGCCGTCATGGTTCGTCCCATAGTCGTCGGCCGCAGCGTCTTCCGAATTTCTCCCGCTCGATCGTTCCTGCGACATTGGGGATGTGGTTCGGCTGGGCACGTTGCTGGTTGTGAGGTATTTGTCGTCTTTTGGCGGTGGAGGAGGAGGCGACGGCGATTGTATGGGCGCTTTCCCTGCTGATTTCTCGCTAAGCTCCGGCGGTGGTGTTGATGCTCGGTCCAGCGTTGTGCTCTCTGTCTTGGTGGTGAGCTCCTCTATCGGCGCGGTAGATGGCGCCTGCGCAGCTTCTGTGTCCTTCTCTTGGGGTTCCTCGAGACCTGTTGGGGCAGCATTCGTCTCCTCTGGTGTTTCAGGTGCTTTCTCTACCCCATCTGTCGGCTCTCCCTTGCCAGCATGCCCCTCGTCTTGGGCCTCGACATGGCTAGGCTGCCCCGCGTCCGTCGCCGTGTTCGCGTCATCCGTCGGTGCTTTGGACTCTGTAGGCTGCCCTACGGAAGGCGCGCTTTCCTTGCTCGTGGCTACATGGTGCTGGTCGTCCGCCTTATCTAGCTCCCTTTCGGCGTGGCTGTCGTGGGCTGCATCGGGTTGCGGAGTTGCGTTCGGGGGAGACATAGACCGAGTGCGACGGGGGATTATGGATGGGTTGTGGGTGGTTGATCAAGCGTCCATGGGTCTGGAACAGAGCTCACAACAGCTCTCGCAGGGAGAATATAAGTCAAGTGCTTGGTGATTGACGTCTGCTGCGCCTGCGTGTGTGAATCGTCCGCATGGTCTCCCGGCATCTAGAAGCCGAGTCTCCGAGCCACCGCCGCTAGCGCGTCAAGCAACTGCAGCCGTGCCACTGCCAACACCACACCTGCGTCGCCATTTCATCAGCCCAGCCATGTGCGGCATCTTCTTCTCGCTCAGTCGGACTGGACACGTGATACCTGACGCCAACACACAGCGACTGCTCCGGAATAGAGGGCCAGACAGCACAGGGCAGCACCAGACCATCATCGAATCCAGCGCCAAGGACGTCTCAACGCGTCTTCACGCGACTTTCCTGTCCACGGTTCTTGCTCTACGCGGCAACGACATCGTTGAGCAGCCACTCAGCGATGATACGACCGGCTCCGTCCTCTGCTGGAACGGCGAGGCATGGAGCATTGCTGCACAGGCAGTTGATGGTAATGACTCCAAGCTAGTCTTTACCAAACTTCTGGACGCATGTACTGGGACGCGCGACGCGTCTATGCGACGCGTCATCGAGCTGCTGTCAGTCATGCGAGGCCCATATGCTCTGGTCTTCTACGATGCATTGCACAAACGCATATACTACGGACGCGACTGCTTAGGAAGGCGATCGCTGCTCCAAAAGTCTACTTCTGATGGCACTCTTGTACTCTCTAGCGTGTGCGATAATGCCTCTGGTGAGTCTTGGGCCGAGGTGGAAGCCGATGGTATCTATGTTGTAGACGCAGAGCTGGCTGATCCAACGTCAAACTCGTTCCCAGTAACGAGAGTTCCGCATCGCCGCTCAGATCAAGAAGAGGACTCTGAGTTGTCTTTCGTAGGTAAGTCATCTGGCACACGACTTCTGCTAACAGATTCAGACTCTACAGTTCCCAGCCATGAACCAGACTATCGACAGCAACTCTGCTTCACAGGATTCTGGGGCAGTAGAACACCTAAGGGCGTCGTTGGAAAGATCACTCCAACTGCGCACTCAACACATACGTGAGGCAGTGACTGGGGAATCGAACCTTGGGGTTTCGGGGCAAACACGCGTAGCCGTTCTCTTCTCTGGTGGCCTGGACTGCACAATCCTCGCGCGCTTGTGTCATGACCTCCTACCACTGAGCGAACCTGTCGATCTGCTCAATGTCGCGTTTGAGAATCCTCGGATTCACTCCAATCTCGAGCCAGACGCCAGTCCCTACGAGCTCTGTCCCGACCGTGTCACTGGACGATCATCCCTTGCAGAGCTGGTAGAGATCTGTCCTGGACGTGAGTGGCGTTTCGTCGAGGTCAACGTACCCTACACCGAGACACAAGCTCATCGCAGCACCGTCATGGCATTGATGCATCCCCACAACACAGAAATGGATCTGTCCATATCGTACGCACTTTACTTCGCTTCCCGCGGAGTCGGCTTGTCGCACGTTGTGGGCAAGGCCAAAGCTGAGCCCTACTCCACTACCGCGCACGTACTTCTTTCCGGACTCGGTGCTGATGAGCTCTTCGGTGGGTACCAACGACACGCTACAGCCTTTGCTCGGCGCGGATACCATGGCCTAATCGAAGAGCTTGAACTCGACTTCAGTCGTCTGGGAAAGAGAAACTTGGGTCGTGATGATCGCGTGATCAGCAACAGCAGTAGAGAAGTCCGATTTCCTTTCCTGGACGAAGACTTCATAGCATTAACCCTCCGCCTTCCGGTGACATCCAAATGCGATTTCGGCCTGGAGCAAATCACCGATAGCGAAGACCCTGCACGGCTGCTCGAGCCTGGGAAGCGGGCACTTCGTTTGTTGGCATGGCACTTGGGCATGAAAAGAGTAGCTGCAGAGAAGAAGCGTGCGATACAATTCGGCGCTCGCACTGCCAAAATGGAGACAGGCAAGACGAAAGGTACGCATGTTCTAAGTCAATAAGGTCAGTCGCTCTTTCATTCTTGTTTTCCCTTTGGCCATGATTACAAACCGAGCAAGCGGTTGAGGCACCAATGCTTATCCTCGGGGCTTTCTTATCTAGCAATAGATAAGACTTCCTCTACGCATTTGGTGTCATTGATTCGATATCAAAAAAGGCAAGTCTGAGCCTATCGATGTCTTTGCAAAGTTTCACGTGCTTCGCTTCGTTTGTACTGACACGATGGCCAGTATCTACATCCTTCAAATTGGCTATCCAAATTCACCTACAGCCTTACATCTGCAAGATATCTGTGCCCACTCATCGTACACACAGCAATGACAAAGAAAGAAGACAATGCGCACTCGCCGCTACCCTTTCGCTCGCAATCTCGACCGACAGCCCAAACACACCTGTGACGATGATTGCATATGCTTCAGATCTAACTCGAAGGTTTCGCCTGCTGCTGATACCGTGGGACAATAGCTGACATGATGAAAGGCATCTTTCAGACCAGAAGTTGAAAGAGCCATGGGATGGCCGGCCGTGCTGCTGTGTTGCGATGACCTCCCGGGGAGGCTCCAGGAGCACCTCCACCAGGTTTTGCGCCGCCACCACCTCCACCGCCATGGCCACCACCACCACCTCCACCATGACCACCGCCACCTTTCTTTTGGGACATGTCAACGTCAATATCCACTTCGATCGGCGGGTTTGTCGGCATAGTAATGGGAACAGTCATCGGCAGCCTGTCCACAGTCTTTGTAGTGAGATTGATCGACACTGATTCCAGAGCGGAACTTGCAACCAGCAATGACAGCAAGAAAATGATGACGCAAAGTACACCAGATGGTCGCATTACAGCGGACCCGTTCTTGATACGAGTGTTCTTGAAGCCTGCCCCGTCCACATCGTGAGGCCAAGGAAACGGATCGTATGGCACGTTCGCTGTTGCTCTCGGTAAATCTGGCGGCCAGCACCATGGTCCGGAACTGTGCGGCACAGATGCGATCATACATATGGTGTTGGAAGGACAACAGTACTCTTGACAGCAGACATCGCCTGCGTTACATGAACCAGACGTACCATCCTCCCGGAAGCAGCACTTTGATGGTTTATATTGACAGCCGTTACCACAAGGTTCCAATGGCTCACAGGATGAACGCTGGTTGAGGGATGAGGTCAAATTGCCCATGTCCGGGTTTTCTGCTCCATGGGTTATTGGTAGCGATTGGAGGCGCGTCGCGGGAAAGGCCTGTTCGGAACTACCAGCCACAAACTGGGCCAAGAACAACAGAGCGTGGAAGATTCCGGGAGCTTTGATCCTCACGCTACCGCTCTTTTGCGTACTGGGAATGGGAATAATTGGTGGAATAAAGGCGTGGCCCTCAATCTCCTCAGTGCCTTTGTCATGCTTTCGCCAGCACATCGGACCGTTGAATCCATTAGCACAAACCGCACCTTCATCGCAGCACATGTTCCCACAGCAGTCTTGGTTCGCAGAGCAAAGCCCACGGGTGCCGCCTGGTGCAGCGCAACACTTGGAGGTGGATGCGTCGAAGCACACGCCATCACAAGCTGATGTTCCACCGGGACAGCATCCTGCCGCCATCGTGCCGTTGTGTATCTGGACCTCGACACAGTTTTGGGTAATTTTGCAAACTCCCCTCTTGCCGCAGCATTGCTCTGTACTCGGATCGTAGCAACCGACACTGCCGCATGGGGAATGGAGGGTTGGGCACTGGGATGTAGTGGAGAGAGATGCAGACGAGATTGCTGCTAGGGCCCAGCTTGAATAGGCGGGGCTTTCAGTAGGATGGTCTTGTTTCGCCATCGCAAGAGGTGAGCTGGTGGATGTAGAAACATGGGGATGTGCATGGGAGTGCAACCGCGTCGGTGTTGGCTTGAGAGACTCGGAGAGTGTGTTGGTAGTATCTCCTAGCGAAGCGCAAAACATGACAGGCAGAAGCGAAATGCTTGTATAGAACAACATGTCGATTTGAAAGTATCAGTAATACTGTAAGGAATAAGCACAGAACAAGCGTTGATCGTTGTAAGAGGACGAGGGGATGTTATATTGCGACCTTCGATATCGATGCCACCACGTCAACTTCATGGTTTGACATTGAATGCATGGCTCTTCAATGATTTTGAAGACAACTTTCCTAGAGTAAAAACGCATCATGGTATGCAAACAGCACCTGCCAGTGGTCTTCACATGCGAAAGTCGCCTAACGAAGATCAGTGGCGAATCACGTTCTTTGGAAGATTCCAGCCACACCCGCACCGCCACAATGACGCAACACCAGTTATTCGTATAACAGTATATAGCCCCTCACGCGCTCCTCCAATGCTTCTCACCTCCCACACCCAATCCAGCGCAACATTTCAATCTCGAATCAAACCACCAATATCTACACCCTACGAACACCACCAAACTCGACCATCAAGATGCCCGTCCCAATGCCATCCGCAACCTCGCAGTCCACCCCAGCGACCCAATCTTCAGCTGCTGCGCAGGCTCAGAACGACATACAGAACGCCGCTACACGAGCTCTAGCAAATGCGAACAATGGCGAGAAGACTGAGCAAGAGAAGGAGGCTGAGAAGCGGTACGAGGAGGCAATGGAGGAGGAGTACGCTAAGCGTGAGGGCGGAGCTTAGGCTACGACCCGTGGACATATTGGCCACAAGAGGAGGAGGGAAGAAGATTTCACAGGCTCAGAATGATACCCAAACATAACAAATGGCACACCCACATAATACACAGAGATCACACAGTTCAATTCAATTCAATGTCCATTCCATCCCATCCCATCCCCATCATCAATTCCCCTCCAGCGCCTTCATAACAACCCCCCTCGGCCTCTCCCCCATCGGAATCTCCAACGCCAACTCATGCCCCCTCTCCGTCATCTTCCCCCACGTCTTCTGCAATATCTTAATAATCTTCTCCTCATCATGTTCCTTCTCAAACGCCTCGAATTGGTCGTCCAGAAAAACAAGACACGCCACATCCTCCAACACCATCGTCTCCTCATTAACCTTGAGGTCTTCTTTGCGGATCAAACTACCTACTGTGGACGCGTCTTCAGCGTTGTATCCGGCATCGACGCAGATTTGCTCAACGAGCTCGGCTTGTCGTTTTTTGAGGTACGTGCGCCAGGCGTGGTAGCCGGGCCGCGTCATGGGGTAGCTGGCGCGAGGCACTTCCCAGCGCCGGAAGTGTTGGGCGCGGATGGCGAGGCGGAGGGGCTCGGAGGCTGATGGGGCGCGCTTCTCGAGGTAGGATGTGCATTTCTGCGCGTAGTGGAGTTCGTAGGGCATCTCAGTGCCATTGATTGTAACTTTATTTGGGTCTTCGGCATGGGCTGCGTCGATGGCGGTTAGGGCGCGTTCGAGGGGGGTGGACATCGTGGTGGTTGGTTAGGGTGGCTTAGGGTGACTCAGGGTGGCTCTGAGAGTTGGAAAAGTGTTGCGCGATGTTGCGATGCGTGCGCGAGGGTGATGTAAGGCATTTCGTCGGGTGTCAGATTGGTTGATGGGCGCTGCGCAGAGATAGCGGCGGATGCCCCGCGTCAAGTGGGGGTCGACCCTGCTTGCCCTGGCGATCCCCGGACAGGACGCGTGCGCGCCGTGTTCATCCGTTTAGACATCGACACCTTCGTCATACACCTCTACACCGTTGCCGACCACGCGAGATCGCTGCACACTAATCGCGTCTGTCTCGCCTTACTTCTCAGCATGCATGAGATACGTGGTGGCCTCAGCTGATTGGTCAGTGGCGACACCACTGCTCCGCCTCCACTAACCTCGTAACTCAAGCCGCTCACCTTGTTTTTCAGCCTCATCGAAGATTGTTTATTAGCGAGCAGAGCTCCAGGTTTCGCCATGTCTCTATCAAGCGCTTACAAGGTGTCAACCAAATCCTCCATGCCAATCACTTGTCAGTTATATTATACTCCGAGTCCATTCTGTTTTCGCTGCCATGAACGCAGACTGGAGATCCCCTGTTCAGCCTGATCATCTTGAGTCAGATGTGAAGCAAGACACAAATTATCCGCAATTCCTCAAAGAGCAAGATGCTATGGACAACATGTTATGGGGGGATGTAGCCATCTCTCCAACCAACCCGTGGTCCGACTCTCAGGATATTACTTATTTTGAGAGAGGCTCGATCATGGACTTGGGATGTGTGTGCAACTACTTCCCGCCCCTCTACTGCGCACGGCACGGCATAGATTTTGATACGTTCAAAGACAACGACATGCCACTACCATCATTCGATCCGGGACAGACAATCACACATTCCGACGATGTTCTAGAATCAGTGGAAGCCGCGCCAGGACATCTTGAGCTTACTGAGGAAAGCCTTACTGGTCAATCTCTATTCCAGAGCTTTCAGAACCCTTTTGAGATGGGTCAAGATGATCCTGGTATATCCACCAACGACCGAGACATTCCAACACCAAAGTACCTGGACGCTCATCTCTCCCCGAGACCTCCTCGTCAAAATCGGTCGGGACGTTCGAAGATTCCACCAAGAGACAAGCGCATCCTAAAGGCACACTTCGCAAGGAACCCCTATCCTACAGACAGTGAATTGGACGAGCTGCACAAACGCACGAGCCTGGCCATAAAATGTATCAAGACATGGTTCAATAACTTCAGACATCGAACAGCTCCTCATCGTATGTCACCTTGTCTCCTTTTGCTGCCAGATCATGTTGAAAATTCTGAAATTTTTTGATGCAATGGCTCACATATACTGGCAGGCTCTCTGATAATTCGGTCGCCGCCGGAAACACCTAAGCGTGACATGTCAGAGACACCCTCGCAAGCGTCGACATCTGTCTCAGCAGAGAGTCTAAGGAGGCTAGATCGAGCGTCGCCGGCCCAGAGTACAAGTTCTCTCGAGCGATATCTTGCGACCCCTCTTATAGAAGAAGCCATACCTTCAGCTGCTATCAAGCCACTAATGGAGGCTTCCATCATGAGTAAGCACGATGTTGTCCTGGAACGCAAGAGGAACATGAGGCAAGGAAACCTGGAGCGACGATTCAATGCAGACGCGGAGCGACGATTCAGGGCAGACGCGGAGCGACAGTTTAACGAGACCCTACAGCGAAAAGGTTTCAAGACGAAAGCTATCAGATCCACCTTGCGAAGGACCGGCGGGGCTGGTAGTGTAGCCGGGTCGGACAGCTCAATGGATTCTGGGAGCAGTGTGGGAAGCTGGACAAGTCAAAACTCTGCTGACTCCAGGGGTTCACGCAAAGGACGCAAGAGCTGGGTACAGGCGCCGAACCACATTACCGCAGCCTCGCCAAGTTCCAAAGACCCTCCGCCCTTCGAAATTCCCATTGCAGTAGGTTACACCATGACTACCCAGCCTCCAAACCTTCCGTGGTACTGCACGACGCCGGAATGCAACAAGTCTTTCAGATACAGATCTGAATGGGACCGTCACGAGGTAGCCGTACATCACTGGCCATACCATTGGGTCTGCAACCTAGGTGAACAGCCTTCCACGGTCCATAAAGATGCCGCATCCCGAATCTTCTACCGCGAAGACCAGCTTTTAGTTCATATGATGAAAGCTCATCCGGGGTCAGTCGTCAGCAAGGATTCGGCTTCCGCATTGAAGACGGAGAATCCAACATTGAATCCTACTTCTTTGAGGTGCGGGTTTTGCTACCAGGACTTTTGCAGTTGGGAGGAAAGGCAAGATCATGTCTTCGCTCATATGCAAGACGGGGTACCTAAGTCTCTATGGTTGTGGCGACAGAACACAATGTTGTCCACTGATGAGACGTATGAAGTGTTTGCGAGGGGATGGCCTCAAGAAAAGAATGACAACGAACTGGAGGCGGAGAATTAGAGAGTAACATACATGGTCACTTGTTGTTTGAAAGCACTTTGGTATTTAGTGTGTCAGATCGCTATAGCATGCAGGATGAGACACGCTCCTTGCTGAATACACAGCACTTATGTCAATGCCAATTAGCTCTGGGTTTCATCACTTAAATTTGCGCTATTTCGATTCATACTTGTCACTTTTTCTAAACCGACATTTCTGTCATGGACGATGGACGATATTTGTTAGGATGTACATTGCGATCAAACTTCTATCAACCCCAATTCCCCTGCGACGGATCCTGCGTCCATGAATTGCTATGCTGCTGCTGTAGAGACGGTACTTGGAAGTAGCTGTTCGGATCTTGTTGCTGTTGTTGCTGCTGCTGCTGATCCTGCTGCGCCCATCCATTGCTGTCCTGCCCCGAAATCGACGACGCACCAGGGCTATGACCCTGGCCCTGATGCGGCGCCGGTAAGCCCGGACCATATACCATCGCTCTTCTCTTTTGTCCACCCGAAGGTTGTGGCAACTCTGGTACCGGCTGAGGCGAGGGGGTAGCCCACGTTTGCTGACCGGGGCTCGCATCGAATGTCATACCGTGTGGTTGCGGGCTATGCCCAGATCCATCGTACGAAGTGCCGGTGTAAGACATCGAGCTGGCGAAAGGACTTGATTGCGGGAATAGACTGGGAGGTGTTGTTGGACCTCCAGGGTACATCAGATTTGGCGCTTGCGGTGACACAGACGGCATCGGTAGCCATTGCGGAGGGTAATCAACGGGCGGTGGGAGTTGCTGTACTGGAGGTGAGGTGTGTGGTGAAGTCTGCTGGCGTTGGTAGAGCTGTGCGGAGAGAGCTGCTGACTCTCGTTGGAAGCGATCGCGCCAGTGGGTGAAGCCGAATCTCAACCCGAACTTAGAAAGTACTGATGTGTAGTCGTGGATGGCGTTGATCGCCCGAGTTGTAGGATCCAATGGCGAAGTCTGCCCCTCTGGTAGCAGTGGCGACGGGAAAGATGGTGCACTGATCTGCGCGGGTGGTGCGAGCGGATCTTCCGATTCTGTTTGAGGGGCCAGTGGTGTTGGAGGCACTGGTGGCCTTAGGTCGAGAATCATTTCCATGTTGCGTGATAGAACATCAACGAACTGGCGGCCTGTCATGTACGCGCGCATAGCGTCATAGAAGGTGACAGGAGGCTTGACTGTATGTGACGGCTTATCTAAAACGGCCAGCAGATTCGTGGCATACGCGATGCAATGTTCAAAGATCAGCCGTTGCGCATACTCGTGGATGTGGGGTATCCGTGGGCTTGGTGAAAGAATGTAAACATAGCTGTAAAGAAGTTCGAGCTCGAAGAAGGACTTTACGGCGGGCAAAGTGCTCTGCGGCATATCCTGGAACCACTCTGACATCCTGTTATATTGCTTCCAGATGTATTGGTAGGGTTCTTGCCAAGGCTCGCGACCAGATTGAAAGAGATCCATGTACCACTCGGATTGTATCTCTCGTATCCTAAAGAGATCAACTGCGGTGTCGAAAGACTGTTGGAAGACCTGGGATGTAGGCGAGGCAAATTTTGGTGATACTGAGGCGTTGTAAAATGGAAAGCCGACGTGTGCAGCCTCATCTGAGAAGGAGAAGGCGCGAGTCTGGACGAGCGATGTTGATCTACCATATGATTAGCAAGCAGAAGGAGAAAGCATGGGATACGGCCTTACCTATCTAGCGAGTATACGCACCAGTACACTCTTCTCCTGATCTCTAGTTTCGCTCTTGACATTGCAACATTCTTAGAAGGGTCTTGATGTATACCGAGATCGACCATGGCTCTGGAAGCTGCGCCCACGAGTGTCCAGCTATCGAAGTGATGCGGGTCCATAGTAGCATAGATGGTCCAGAGTATCAAAGCTTGAATGCTAGAAACGTAGCCCGGATGTAACACGTCTTCAGCGTTTTCTAGCGCAGCATTCATGTGTCCGACGGCGTCAGAGTAGTGGGTGTCACCTCTCGACTCGGACTGAGAGAGACATGCGATGGCCAACACCATACGCACGCTCCACCGATCCCAAGGTTTCGCATTATCGCCTTGCTGGTAGACGGCATCCACGGAGGAATAGAGGGTAGCCTCTTCGAAGACTGGCCAAAGAGTGAAGATGTTGTTCAAGTAGTGCTGAATCAGTGGCGTTGCTGCATACTTTGGAGGTAGTGCTTTGATCAGATCTGCGGGTAGTGGCTCTTTTGCACTCGCCGATCGGATCAGGCGGGCGTAAGACATTTCTGTTGTGAAGCCATAGAAGTCTCTCGCAGTGGCATTCACAGCACTTGGTGGGTTAGTGCAGCACATTAAGGTGGATATGGCGCACTCACAGAAGACCGAAATCTGACACCAGGTCATCTATCTCTGATGCTTCCTTACGTCGTGCAGCTCTTTTGCTGATGGGTCTAGTTGCTTTTATGGTATCGGCAGACGCTCTACGCGGGGTCGAGTTTTCAGACATGTCTAGCATCAGCACGCCCGAAGACTTTCGCCTCGCCCGTGCTTCCTGGATCTTCTTCTCGAGCTTCTCGACTCTGGACTCCAGTGTAGCGACATAGCTCCGTTCTTTTCCTCGCGCAAACTGATCGTTTGTGCTTGAGCACTCCGAGGCCCGATTAGATTTTTCACAGGCTGTGCATGCGGGCAGTTTTCCATCGCACTTGACTTTCGCAGCTCGGCATCGCGAACAAGCGGCCACAGGTCTGCTCACCCGGAGCAGCGGCGTTTCCAGCACCATGTTCCTGCTATCTTAGGACGAGTAAGTATGTATCGCATGGTCACCTGACGCTGGGTGGATTACCGTGCGGACGGGTTCAGATGAGGACTGGCATATAAAAGGAAAGCGGAATCAAATGAAACGGCACTAGACACGATATATGAATATCGCTGTAGACTACATGTTCAAAGGCGGTACGGAGATGGAAAGCCCTTGGCCTGACGATCGATACAGACGGGACGGCACTTACCAGCTCGGTGCAATGCACGTTGGGGGTCTAGCGCGACGATGCAGAGAATCAGGTCCGCGGACAGCCTTGCCAAAAAGGCGGTACAGCACGCGATGTATTTGGTGGTTTGGCGCTCTCGTGGTGTTGAACAGCGGGTTGACGGGTGGCGTAGCGGGCTCGCGGTACCCTGGACTTCGTAATGCCGCGGCTCTGTGGCCGAATGGAGAAGCGGCGGACGGCGGTGTTGCCCCGCTGAGTCGGCCAGGGAGAAAGCGATGCTGAAAGGGACGGGTGTGACGCGGTTGCGAGCGACGGGATGAGGATAGACGTATGCTTGGCCGAGCGTTCGAGGCCCAATTCCAGGAGGCAGCCTATCAAGAGCCTGGTCGCGCTTGATGCCCACGCTGCACGTCTTTCTTCGGCTCCCAGAGTTTGGACAGAGGCCGGGCCTGTCACCATCAGCCTGCGCCGCACCAGCGACGGGGGCGTGTCATGCTTCGACTTCCTTTTGGCGCCGTCTGATTGGGGACGCTCGGTAATGCGCAGGCGTTTTTTGTGGCCCAGTCGACGTCGCGCTTCGTTCCTTCTTCCTGGTTAAAGATACACCCACCGGACGACACTCCGGTGGTACTGCTCGGCTGCTCCTCGACCCAGGCACCGCTACCGTATTCAGGAACTCGCTCCCACATCGCCATCTCGACGGCCTCACGGACTGAGGGCGCAGGACCAGACCTTGCCGGCGCGACAAACCTCCCGGGCATGGACGTGCGCGTCGATCTCCCCCACATCCCAGGCGCATCATAAGCCAGCTCCCTCGTCCTCCTCCGCCCGTGGTGAGAGACGAGCGATGGAAGTCGCGACTGCGACACACTCCAAGACGGAAGGGGCCCCGCACCCGCCGGAGGAAGGCACCACCACCACCGGCCAGAGTCGCATCGCCCACACTCTGACAGCCTGCTGTCGTTGTCGGACGGTAAGCATCATCCCGGGCACGGCTGGCTACGTAATGTCCACTGACCAGAGCCCAGCGCAAGACGAGATGCGACCCCGGACTCCCTCGATGCGGGCCATGCGAGCGCACCAATTCCCACTGCGAATACTATGACCCCACCAAGGGACGCAAAATACCCCGGAACTATGTCGTGCACCTGCAGCAGAAGGTGCGCGACCTGGAGAAGCAGCTGGCTGATCTCGAACGGGACGACGTGGAGCCGGACCCTGAAGATGTGATGCGTGGGGCAGCCACGGTGCGTGTCCAGGACTCCGACGAGTCCAAATTCCTAGGGCCGTCCAGCGGTATCACCATCACCCGGCTGGTGATGCAGCTGGCGAAGCAGTTCACCGAGTCAAAGAGCATCTCTGAGATCGTGCCACATGCCGAGGCGAAGAACATCAAGGACACCTTCGCCCAGGAAGATCAGCGACCCACCTCCAAGATCTACCCCATGGTCAGCGACGTCGCGGCCGAAGAACTGCCCAACAGAGACCTCACCAACCTACTGGTAGAGCTCTTCTACTGCAAAGGCGCGTAAGGCTGTCTCCTTGCAACTCCGACATCAACTGACTTGACTAGTGCACCCCATGTACCCCATCTTCCACGAACCAACCTTCACCAAAGATGTCGATGAGGTCTACAACGGCTCCACCGATCCCTACCAGAACTACTGTCTGCGCATGGTCATCGCCATCAGCCTGCAGAAGATGGACACGCAGTATGCAGGTCTCGCCGACAGCTACTATCTCGCCGCCCTGAAACACTTCGAAGCCGCCATCAAGCCTATGAACCTCAAGACCCTGCAATGTTTTGGCCTAGTCGCAGGCTATTCGCTCCTGACACCAACGAGGACCGCAGTCTACTACATAATAGGTCTTGGCGTGCGCCTGTGTCAAGCATTGGGCCTGCACGAGGAGAAGACAATCGGCATGGGCTCTGGTGGACGTCAAGCAGACCCTCTCGAAGTCGACATGCGCCGCCGGCTGTTCTGGAGTATACTGACCATGGACTACGGCTTGTCCCATAGTCTTGGACGGCCCGCACATTTTGCGACACGGCGGGAACACATCGATGTCAACTTCGGCGAGCTCGTCGACGATGTCTACATTACCAGGGAAGGCATCAAACCCGCACCACAAGCATCGCTCAAGAAGTGGATCGGCATACATTTCTACAAAATGCGCCTGCTTCAACTCGAGATACGCAAGATGCTGTACCAGAGGAAGAAGCCCGAACCAAAGGATGACCAGCACCCTTGGTTCGCTCAGATGCAGACAAAGATAGAAGCTTGGAGAGACACAAGCCCTGAGATGGACGGTGGATCAGGGCTTAACAAGGTCTGGTGAGTATGTCCTTTGCATGCAAAGTACCTCGACTAATCCGACTAGGTTCATCGGTCGATACAATACCATGGTCGTCTTCATGTACCGTCCTTCTCCACAAGTACCTCGCCCGTCCCTGGACGCCGCCATCCGCTGCTACGACGCTTGCCAGTACAACATCTACATGACTATGAAGCAGATCGAGACAAAGAGCGTCGACGTCACCTGGATCTTCACACAAGCTATCTTCATGTGCATCAACACTATGCTTTGGACATTGTCATACTCCGAGGTGCGGAGACGTCATAGCCGAGAAGAGGTCGAGGGTCACTTGAAAGTGGCTATGGAGTCGATCAGGCAGGCCTCCGAGCGATGGCCTGGTGTTGAGTCCGCCATTGGTCTTTACTATAACTTGATCCAAGCCTGCATGAGGATCTTCGACAAGGATGGCGACGTTCCCATCTCCGCCAGCTCACCTTCCGACACTGCATCCGTGGGCACTGGCAACATTGTAGATGGTATCAATCGGTCACGAACCACAAGTCCAGCAACGGCGTCTACAGCATCGGTTCGCACGCCTTCCGACAAGGTACCAGGACCTGGACCTTTTGGCTACTTACCGGAACACAATCAGCAACTCTTCAACCTTGGCAACGGCCTATCGAACCCTCCCAACCCGTTCTCAAGCGCACCGACACAACAGGCTGGACTGCAGACGTCGCCTCAGCAGCCCCCATCATTAGCATACAACGAGCTGAGCCCGAAGACCACGATGGACAACAATATACCCTCCTACAGCTACGCACCTACAGGCCAATTCGCGCCGCTACCCACTACCTTTGCCGAGTTACCTACATGGAACCCAACGTTCACGATGCCGCCTCAAGACAACTACAACATGACAAATATGCAGATGGCTTCATCACCTTTCTATAACGAGGCGTACGCAGCGAATCAAGGCTACGAAATGGCAGACTATCTCAACCCGGCCTGGAGTCAGGATGCTAGGGGTACTGGGCTCAATCAGCAACAACAGATGGAGCTGATGCACGACTTTGAAATGAATGAGGCGAAGAACATCGAGATGATGATTGAACAGAGTCACCAACTTTTCCGTCCACCGCAAATACAGCAAACCTACTGAGCGCGCAGTCAACGTGCGACCATCATACCAGAACATTAAACACACTAGGTCCTGGCTCATCTGCATTGGAGTACGAAGACCGATACTACGCGATTCAGAGCGGACATCATCCTGGTCGGCTGTCATCTCGATGTTTGAAGATCTGACGCATCCTTTCTCGCATTGGGAGGATCATTTCCCGGCTTGGCATTCGCGTACGAAAGGTTCTCGCATGCCGATCTTGTCGATCTTATCCAGCAGATTCGTCTGGTGGTAGCTGAATCAGATCAATCTCATGAGTAAGATGCTCTGGGGGCCAGAATCGAAATTTCGCTCCAGGGATCCTGAGTCGCCCGGGATGGTCCTTGCACTTCGGTCAACTTTGCGACGTCCAGCCTGTGCTAGAAGTCTAGAGTTCTCCATGGACGCCAGCGGTCGGCTCCGATGAACAAACCTTGGGAGAAATCAACGCATGAAACTGCAACCGTAAAGTCACTAAAAGCCAAGACCTGAATGGCTGGCTTGGACTTCATCTAGAAGGTATAACTGTAGGTTCATGGACTAAAGGCAGATGCATGACATGCAGTCCAACAAGGAAGCGCTGAAAGCAACAAGACATCATGCGATATAGATATTCAGCTGGACTGAATAACCTTCACATACAATGTATAACAATCATGATCAATTCGCCCATCCTTCCGTTCTGACCCTTGCCTGTTCCCATATCGCACTCCCTGATACCACCCTTCCACGAACCCTCTCCATCCCTCTTCCTATCCCATCCCCAACCTACTCCACCTCCTCAATCCCACCTAACCTCCCCACCTCCCTATCAACCCACCCTCCAACCCTCCCTACCACCTCCTCAATATTAACATCCACCTCCATCTCCTCCTCATCACTCTCATCCACAACCTCCTCCCACACATCCCTCATAACCTGGTACACCCAACACCCGCCCTTCATGACAGTCACATGTTCCCAATCGTTCACGATCGGCCGTGTGTCGTCTAGTTCTTCGATGAGGTCGATGAGGCTGGTCAAGGGCTCGGACTGGTGGTCTGACAGTATGTTTTCGAGCGCGATGCGCGCGCCGCGGGTGAAGGGTGTGAGGTCGCGGGGGGTCAGTGGGGGGAAGGGTGCGAAGGTTTGGGGTGTGAGGGTGGTTGCGCTTGGGGTTGCTGGAGAGGTAATAGATGGCGTGTCGGTTTTCGAGGGAGGTGATGCAGATTTCGGCCGTGAATCAGGCGTATTAGCGATGAGCGGAGGCGAAGGGCTGGTTGGTAATACGGCTGCGGTGTCTGACCACGTGTCCGAGAAGACATTCTCTTCTGCGGGCATAACGGTTTCTGCGGGAGGCGGCTCGAACAACTCAAAGGGTGAGGACATGGCACCTCTTCGCGGCCGTGTTGTAGTATTCCGCTTTGGCCGTGGAGCTACGGGAGCCTTTTCCCGTATCTTCTTGACTGACGGCGCTGGTGGTTTGGGCTTCCGTGCATATTGCTTGGCCTTGGAGAGGTTAGTAGGTTGCTTTCCGCGTGTGGTCATTCCGCTTCGCGTCTGCCGGGTCTCGCGCGTCGTACCGTTCCTCGTGATGGGTTCCGGGTCGGCCATTTCGACGTCGACGGTGTCGTCTCGGTCCACTGTCTCTGCTTCCTTTCTGCCAAATACAAGTGTCTTAAGCTTGCTCGTAGTCTTGCCGGTAGCTTTGCGCGTCGCTCGCTTTGTCTCTTTGATACTCTTGGCGGGAGCCTCTTCCTTCATTTCCTCGCCCTCGTCATCTGAGTCTACAACTTCCGCACTCTTGTATGGTTTCGGTGGACGTCTGCGCTTGGGGTGGTGATTGGGTCCTGAGATGTGTACTGGATTGGGCGCAGACGGTTTACGGGTCTTGAGCTTGACGATGAGACTTGGTGGGTCGGTAGGAGTCGTGCTGTCCTTTATCGAAGGTGGCAGGTTGGCGGGCGGTTTGCTGGGTGTGTTCTCGGCTTGCTGTTTGTTCATTAGTTTTGTTGGGCTAGATGATAAAAGCGGCGTACCTACCTCAGATAATCTGCTTCGAGTGCGAAGACGCGGAGATGCGGCTAGGTTGTACTGCGTTTTCCTGCTCTTGGCTGTTGGTGATGAGGGTGTCGGTGAAAGCGTAGCGCTCGTGTCTCCCAATTCAGAATTGAGACCGAAGAGATGGCGCTTAGGATTCTTCGCGTCGCTATTGGGCGTGCCGTGGGTCAGGCGCATTCTCTTTTGCCTGGCTTCCACTGCGATAGCAATTCTGGCGGCTTCGATGTCTTTCGTCTTCTTTCTGCCTCTCTTGAGCTTGTCTTTTCCTTTGGATGGCTTCCCGTAGTCTGACTCGGCTTCGTAGAACTGTTCTTCCGCGCTATCTGGCTCGTCATAGTCTAATAGCTCGCTCGATTCTATGACTTCTTCCATCTCATGTGACTGGTCGCGTGGCTGCTCAATTTGGTTGTCAGGTCGCTGGGAGGGTGTCGCATCTTTCACTAGAGACTCGTGCTCGGTAGTGCTTTCGCGTTCTGGGACTGACTCTGCATGGCGACGTGTGCTTTCGTCGTAAAGCGCTCCGATAGCATCGAGCACCCGCTGCAGAACGGAAACTACTGGAACTCCTGCTTTGATCGACTCCGGAACGTTTACGTCGATGGCAGTGTCGAAAGCGAGTCGGCCACGATGATGAATATCGGGTAGCAACTCTAGTTGTGTCTCGAAGTTCTGTCTGCGCTTGTGAAGCTCTGCAAAGCTCTTAATGTCGTCAAGTGTCCCATTTTTGATCGCATCGTTGATTTCATCTTGAGTAGAACCCATAGCTTGTTCTTGTGCTGCAACGAAGAGGCGGGGTGGAACAGATGATAGGGATGGAAAGTGGGAAGCAGTGCGCGAACAGGAGTCGCAAACAGACCCTTTAGTCGTGATCCTTGCGCTAAATATTTCTTCAAGCTTGGGGGAGGGATTGATGATGTTGCGACACGGCAAGTTCAAAGACTATCTAGGTAAGTAAGTGGGAAGTGTGCTCGGGCCCCCTGTCCGGCTCCCGAGGTCGTCACGGCCACTCTACTATACGCAGCGCAGCTGCCGGTCTTATCAACACTCATAGTCGCGTGATCAAACGAAAATTATAGGTAGCAGTAAGTACATCGCTAAGCTACAAGGTCGATGGTCTCTTCTCCGCGTCTCCGCTCGTATTGACCGTGATGCTGATATTGTGATTTACCCGTGCCGTAGGCGTGCTGTGGCTTCTGGGTTGAGCAATGTTGTAATGTTGTATTTCGTAAAGGTCATTGGAACCCCCAGGCTCATCATCTGCGACAGGTTTCATGCCCAAGTACATACGGCTGAAGCCGACATTTTCTTGAAGGAAAGTCTACGTTCGTTGAGAGTCCCTGCTGCAGACTACTGGGCGTCTTAGTGAAAATGCTTTCAACATTTAGCTGCACCACAATGTAACTGAGTGAGCGTGCAGTAGACCCACTGGATGCTTCTAGAATGCCATTGGGCTGCAGCATGACTATTGCAGCAAACTTTGCCTTCTACATCAATACATCAAGCGCGATCATAACAGCTCGATACTCACCATAGATCTTATTTAGTACGCACAACCGCCATAGACATCACCACCTAGGTAACCCAGCATTGCTCGTACGAAGATAGTGACTAGCAGAAGCAAAAGAACAAGCAAGAAATGAAGCGGAAGAGGGGGTCTCACCTCGTCGTGATGAGCCCAGAGTGGAGCAAAGTGAGCGAAGTTCTAACACACCAGCAAGCCTTTCGTGCCGGCGTGGACTACGTATGCGACATTCTCGTTCGCCTTGTCAGACATCCCGACTTAGGCTATCCTCTTTCGTCGGTCAGTACCGTGTCTGCCAGCATCAACGGATATAGATCACGCGTCAACAACTCCAGATCCACCGGAAGAGCTTCTTCGTTATCATGCATTCAAGACTTCCATGCTGGTGCCACGACGGCTTTGACGAACATGGAACTGAGAGCAGTAAACAGTCGACTCAAACGGGAAGCGAAAGACATCATCGCGTGTTTGGAACTGTTGGTGCACCATGAGTTTGTACGTTTGATGGAGCTAGAAATATACGGAAGGCGGTCGGATCCGGACGCTATGCGAAGAATGGACGAGTTGCGAACTGTCAGACGGATGGTGGGTACAATAAAGCTGATGAGGTGAGTCTCAGAATTGAGAGCGATGGTGTCGGAAGTGAAGTACGGTTCAAATATTCAGGTATGCCGTCATTTGGCATGCTGAAATCGAGGTCTTGGTCATGTTCGTGATGTAGAGAAGAAAGAAGGAGCATTCGCGTGTGATGACGTAATGCCGATGAGCCGATTGGCCAGGGTCCAAAGCTAAGCCCAATACAGACTAAGCCTCCTTTTGTGTGCTGAAAGTCAACAGAATCCCATTCATTGTCGTCTCCTCTGTGCGCATTCGTTCTCTACATGTTTTCACCATCGCACACTCGCTCGCCGAACTTCCTATCTGCACACACTGCCAAATGTACAACGGATTACCTAGGTGTTGTGTTTATAATCAGCATAATGTGACAGCAAGGTCAAGGTGAAATAACAAAGCGTGCATTTCACACAACACGACTAGGCACTCGAACTGTATATTATGAGTCCCACCGTCGACGCAAGTCATTCTATACCCCGTCGCTCAACTAACCATGTCTCAACCACCAGATGACCACCCAGCCACCGCTGTCGACGGATCTCAGAAAGCACAAAAGAAACCTATAATTCCACATCGAGACAACAATGCCACCCAGAATCATGTCTGGCAGCTACCTAATACCAACAGCTTGGACAATCCATTCTTATACGCCACCACCCAATACACTATTCTCTCCAGTCTTGTCGAGCATCTTCGGCCCCAAGATGTTCTCCGGCTAGCTCAAACTTCACAGACGGTGTACTCAAACTTGGACTTCTCAAGCGCCGCTAGCCGTACCAATCTCCGTACAAAGGTACTGTGTCCCGGCTTTGGCGTGCAGCAACGCAAACTCACGCACAAGCCTGCTAGCGAAGGAGAATGGCACGTACAAGTATTGTGTGGCAGCGAGATCAACGATCCAGACATGGAAAGCCGTCCATGTGTCACCTGTGGCATGAACACTTGCGATGAATGCAGGTTACATGTGACGTACCATTCCATGACTGAGGATAATGGACCACACGGATTAAGATGGTGGGCAGGGCACATCATGACGATGAACGCTCCTGTTCGCCTTCTCCCGCCTAACGAGCCCATCTACCGGTACCCACCTGAAGAAGATGAAGAACAGCCACCCTGGAAGCTACCGCTTGGCAAGGGTCGACCCCAGCATGACTGTGGCCGTCTCGGCTTACCATTTGACTCCAATCTAGTCGCCCAAGCCGAACCGATTGACAATCTACTTGATCAAAATCTTGGCAATACTCTATTCCTCAGAACCAAGGGTAGTTCACTTTGCTCTTCCGGTTTCAGGCCTGTCGCTGGACCGCTGTCTTCGGTTACTACAGGTCGTCTTAACCGACTCTGCACGACGTGCTCAGCCACGGAGGTCAAGCACCAGTGTACTTGCACACTTCGAAAGCGGTTTCTCGACCAATGGCTGTGCATTGAATGCTACCTCGAGAACGAAGTTGATGTTGATGTTGCGCGAATGATGAAGATGATGGAGGGAGATGAGCCAGGAGAGTGTCCGTGTGGGAGCTCATTCGATACACAGGACCAAGATTCGTGGTTTGTATGCGAGTGGTGCGATGGTCGGGTGATCGGGTCTAAGAAAGCCACTGAAGATGAGGAGGCGGCAAAGGATTTCGTACCGGATGAGGAGGACGAAGACAAGGAGGGCGCCTGGCCGGAATTTCTTCCAGATGGGGACCGACCCAATCTGGATGGCACTCGGATTGACCAGGCCATCGTGGCTGCGGGCTCGGCCGCGCCTGGTCTGCATCGACACTTCGTCTGTCATGAGTGGCTTACCCGGAAGCAACATGTGCAGATGGATGCATACAAAAAGAAAATGGAGGAGGGCAAGGAGGGAGAATTCAGTTTCAAGTGGTACCGCCCTCATAGCTTATGAAGCAATAACGGGGAAATCAGGGGTTCAGCTTACGATGTATATCGGAGCTGCTCTAATGTCATAGTATACACTAGCATCCACACATAGTTCGATGAAAGTAGTCGAACAATAATGGGAGAGGCCAGACGATTGAAGCAAGATCTGTTTGTCACATACACTTCTTTGTAGTCAAACTAATTTTACCATAGCAAGCGTCCATGGACTGATCTAGATATTCATATACGTCATCAAAGTGTATCATCCATGTTGTGCACTGACCATAAGCTTCTCAACTAGAAGGCGAACTTGTACTAGACATACAGATCCACACATATACACATACACTCCTATCTAATGTCTCACAACACGTTCTTCCCGTTCCTAGACGATGCCGCCTACTCCCGTCGCCGCAACGCCGACCTCATGCTTGCGTACCAGCGGCAGAAGAACAAGATCGAAGCAATGGCACCCTTTAGTACACCTGATTTGGAAGCGGAATACAGTACCAAATACAGGGATCTACATGCAAAATTGGGCGGTGTGCAAGAGCGTGACAAAGTTGTGAGGGAGGCGATGAGAATGACTCTGGGGAACATGACGCGAGATGAGATCATAACTTGGAGCTTGAGGAGTGAAGCATATGGTAGCGAGAGTAGATACCCGAAGTGGTCGGGGTAGTGAGGAGATGTATTATTAATACGAACATTCTGTGCTTCTAAATGCTAGCCATTCTTGAGCGCCGATGATGCAAATGCGGATGCTGCGCCAGACCGAGACACCAATTACGCTAATACGCCCGACATGCAAAACGCCATTACCCGAGATGGGTCAAAAGAAAAAGAAAAAACGCGACGCAGATATCTATGCTTCTTCTTGAGTCGCTGGCATCGCTGACCATGCAGTCGATGTACAACTCGTGCGTGCCTCGTGTTCATCAGCCTTCCTCGCATCGCGAACCGCAGCGTCAACGGCGTCGTGAAGATCAAGATGGAAGAACGGCCTATCAACACCGTAAATCGGGTAAAACTTCTGCTTCTCACTCGTAGAAGACAACTGTACCTCAAGTGCATTTGTTTCTGTGGAGTCCTTGCCCTGCTCTTCGTCCCTGGTTCCCAATGCCCTCCGTGCAGCTTCTACTTCTTTTTGCTCTTCGCATGTCGCGCCTGCGAGACTTGCCGACACGGTGTAGGCTGGACACCAGTTTCCTGTGTATTTTGCAGTTACGACAGCAGGGAAACCAAAACCTGCAAAAGCGAGCGCTTTGCGGGTCCACCGATTGTGCACACCAGCAAAGTGCCATTCGACCAAACCGGGCGCTGCATGGCGATCAAGCGTCTCGCGTAAGCTCTTCAATCCGTCGATGCTGGTAATGTCGAGAATATTGACTGTGGAGAAGTCAAGAACGACGGCTCGCAAGACGGGCAGACATGACGACTCTTCGATGAGCTTCTCCGTGGGTGGCGCGTCGCACCACAAACGATCACATGCGCGGATACCGTCATCCGCTTGAGTCCGGCGGGTGTTTGAGGTGATGTAAGAGGCAAGGTAGTCAACATGATAAGCTTGGTTGATGTAGTTGAAGTTCTCGCTGAAACGATAGATAAAGACGCCGGGGTATGCTGGCTCTACGGTGATGTTCGGGTTGTGGTTGTCTGTGACGTCGTAGGGCATATACACTTGCCGAGCTTCCTGCATAGCTACAGCACGATGCGTCTGTTCCCCGTGTGGTTGCGAAGACAACGACGCGCTTGA